GCACTGACCCAGGATTTCAAGAAGAGGGGTCTCAAGCACCTCATATGTTCCCCTATGGGTTGCATAAGAGACCAAATAAAATTGGAGCATTTTGCTGAAAATATAATTAAATTCCAAGAATCAACTGGTGCCTGCATTGACATAGTACTACTACAAGAGGAGAATCCAACGAGAAATCTCTGGAGAGGCCAGCCCTACAGTCAATTTTTACAAAAATTAAAACTTTTAACTACAAAGCACACGTCAGGAAACTCTATGATGCTACTTCCCACCAACCAACATCAGATGGATGACGACTCATTAGACAAACCACAGCACGAGACTTCCCAGCCGACCCTCCACAACATCATGTGTGTGTCAAGTGAAGTGCAGGCTGTTATGCCCAGTCCAAGTGCAAGTCCCTCCCCACACCTTGCTCCTGGCCCACATTCCTATGTGGAAGCAGTGATACAGGGCAGTGCAAATGTCAGTGTAGTCAGTAATGTTAGTCAAGTTTACAATGGAGGTTCTGGTGATGGTGTTGCTTCATCAAATATTCCTTTTTTAGAAATTTGCCCAGAAAAAAAACAGAAACTGAAGATATAGCAAACAATTTGATTAACCAGCAAACACTATTAACAAAAGTAACATTGCCTCAAAAATACAACTGTTATGAGAAATTAGATGCAATTCTACATTGGAACCTCCAAGGAGTAAATAAAAAAGTTGAAGAACTAGAATTGTTTATTTTAAATTTAAAAGATTGTAATGTTAAAATTATATGTATGAATGAGCACTGTGTAAAAAAAGATAGTAGCTACTTGCTTAACAGAATGTTAAACTTTAGCTTGGCAGATGGTTATTTTAGGGAGAAATCGGAGGGAGGTTCTTGTATATTAGTCCACGACTCTTTGACTTATGTTGTAAGAAATGATTTAAAGATATTTAATGATGAATATGTATTTGAGGGATCATTTATTCAGATTAATTCACTAGCATTAATAATAGTGTCAATTTATAGAATACCTGGCAATAAAGTTACAAAGGAATTTCTAAGGAAGCTTAATAATTTGTTCAAACTACTATCAAAAGAAAAGAAATGTTTTAAAATTTTAATTGCTTCAGATATCAATATAAATTTATTGGTTAGGAATACAAATTCAGACCGATTTCAGAATATTGCTAGTAGATATGGTTATAATATACATTGTTTTGAAGCTACCAGAACAACAGTTAATACTACTTCCTGTATTGACAACTTTATATCAAGTCAGAATTATAATGGCTCTCTACTGTATAATATTAAGCACTGTCTTTCAGATCATAATGCCTTGGTTTTATCATTACCTGAGACTAAACAGTGTACTCCTAGCATTCCTAGAAGATTTTTTACTGATAGTGGTTGTGAGCAATTTTTATTTCTACTTAATAATAGGCTGCAAAACTTTTTTATTTTTGATTCATGTAATAGTAGCTATAACTGGTTCTTAAATGTATTTATTACTACCATGTATGAATGTTTTCCACTTAAAATATCAAGAAAAACCAAGAAAAACTCAAAATCAACTTGGGTGTCTAATGAAATAAAATTATTAGCTGACAAGAAAAAAGAATTGTATCAATTAGCTAAGCAAACAAATAATGTACAATGTAAATTAGACTATAAAAATTGTAAAAAAGATCTTAGAAACGCGATTCATAAAAGTAAACAGGTAGCTAATAATAAATTTATTCTAGACTCAAATAACAAAATGAAAGCTACCTGGACCATAGTCAGAGAGGAAATAGGACAAACTAGAGAAATGCCTACAGAAGAAATTCAATTAGAGATGGACGGCAATCTGATTAAAGATCCACAAAGCGTAGCTACCTGTTTTAATCATCATTATGTCAACACAGTTAATTATCTAAAAATCCCTAAAGTTCCGGTGACAGACACTAATGTAGCTTGTAATACATCTCTTAAAACATTAACTGAATTCAAACCCACAGACACATTAGAAATCATTAAAATAATACGAGGTCTAAACAATTCCCTTGCTGTTGGATGGGATGAAATTCCAATCAAACTCATTAAATTGTCAGAACACATCATAGCTCCAGTTTTAAGCAAAATAGTTAATCAAAGTTTTTTAAATGAAGAATTTCCCGATAAGCTCAAATTTTCAGAAGTGAAACCTATTTTCAAAAAAGGATCAAAAACAAATATACAAAACTATAGGCCTATTTCTCTACTTAGTAATCTTTCTAAAATATTTGAAAAATTGATTCACCATCGCATAACTGATTTTTTAGAAAATAATAATTTACTGTCGCCATCTCAATTTGGCTTTAGAAGAAATCATTCAACAACCTTGGCTCTCACTAAATTTATCAACTCAGTTTCGGAGGCTCTGGATGGATCACAGAGTGTTGCGGGGGTTTTCTGTGATCTGTCCAGGGCTTTTGATTGTGTGGACCATCAACTTTTAATCTACAAACTAAAAAACATTGGTATAAGAGAAAAGGTCTTAGGTCTTCTCTCAAACTACTTACTAAATAGAAAACAGCGCACAGTAGTTTACAAACAAAACAAACGGTTTCCGTCTAGATGGGATAGTGTCCATTATGGTGTACCTCAAGGTTCTATTCTGGGACCATTGCTATTTCTGATTTTCATTAATGACCTTGATTCAAATATAAGTGGTAGTTTATTTTTGTATGCTGATGATACTAATGTCGTGGTAAAAAACAATGATTTTCAGCAATTAGAAAAATCAATTAAAACAACTGTGGATGAACTAAAAAAATGGTTTTTCAAAAATGGTCTTTTAATGAATGATTCTAAAACCCACTTAATGCACTTTAAAATTAGAAATGGTGAGAAAAACAAGTTGGAGAATTTATCTTGTGGAGAGCTAAAATCAGTCAATACCCACAAGGTTCTAGGAATACACTTTGATTATAAACTAAAATGGGAAAATCATATTCAATATCTGTCCAAAAAGTTGAATTCGTTTAGGTTTGCACTCAGTGTAATTAGTAATACAACATCAATGGATGTATGTAAAATGGTATACCACGCCTACATCGAATCAATAATTAGGTATGGAATAGTACTTTGGGGATGTCAGCCCCAAACTAAAATCCTTTTTAACGCTCAAAAATCAATAGTGAGGACTATGGCCCGAGTTAAAAGAAGAAAAAGCTGCAGATCTTTATTTAAAGATATTGGTATCTTAACACTTACAAATCTTTACATAGTTGAAATTGTTAAACTAATGTTTAATGATATTAAAATTTTTGATGACTGTAAATTCAACCATACCTATCCAACACGACATCAGAACAAATTGAAATTTCCTCGGCATAGGCTTTCATTCTATGAAAACTCTCCAAAATACATGGCAGTAAAAGTTTATAATAAATTGTACAGCATTTTACAAAAAAATAATTCCAAAAACTTAGCCCTTACATCTGTACATAAACTTCTCTTACAAAAACCATACTACACTGTAGAAGAGTTTTTTAAGGATACTTTTTAAACTGATACGCTGAATGATAAGGTCTTTTCTAGTTATATGAGATATTTTACTTATGTTAACTTTATTATTTTTAGTCTAGTTTTAGTTTTAGTTTATATTCTGACGACACTCCAATCTTTTGTACCTTGTGCATTATAAGATGTGATGAGTAAATAAAGAATTTGAATTTGAATTTGAATTTGAAAGAACTAAGGAGAATTCTAGGTGTTGTCAATTACGTAGCCAAGTTTATTCGTAATTTGTCGACCATAGTTCATCCACTACATGCTTTACTGCAAAGAAATACAGAATTTGTTTGGGGGCCTGATCAAGACCAAGCTTTGGAAAAGATTAAACTGTCATTGATGTCCGAACCGTGTCTCGCTTTATACAGCATTTCTAAAGAAACCTTCCTCTCAGCGGATTCCTCGTCATACGGTATTGGAGTTGCACTACTTCAGCTTCAAGAAGATGGAACTAAACGTCCGGTGGCCTATGCTTCGAGAAGTTTGTCATCAGCCGAACGTAATTGGGCTCAAATAGAAAAAGAAGCTCTAGCGATTGCTTGGGGGTGTGAACGGTTTGAACACCTCATTTTAGGGTTGCAATTGCATATTGAGACAGACCATAAGCCCTTGCTCTCCATATTCAAGGTAAAAGACTTGGACAATATTACTCCCAGGCTTCAGAGAATACGACTCCGACTGATGAGATATACGTATGAGATTACCTACACGCCCGGTAAACAGTTGATTTTGGCTGATGCACTGTCTCGAGACACAGAGAACTCTGAAGAGGAATGGGAACTTACAGAGGAAATCCTTGCTTATATACAAAACATTGACACTACTCTACCATCAGTTTTGGATGAAAGGTTGCGAGAAATAAATCAAGAAACTATGAAAGATGAAACTCTCTAAGAGTCAACTACAGTTTAGTTTAGGAATTTTAAAAATGTGTACTGTAGTTTTTTTAATAAAGTAACATTTTTCAAGTGATCAATAAGAGAACGTTGCTATAAAATGATATAACAATTTACATTGATTCAGCTGATTCACAGTACGTATCAACATGATAAGTTAATGACGTAATTTAAAAAAAAAATGTAAATATGTTACAAGATCACTATTATGGGTTGACAAGAACTTAAGACCATTTCATAGTCTGAATATAAATAAACCAATGAGTGTATATTGAGCTGATGATTTTTGTAGCTTTGTTACTAAGGCAATTAAAAGGCCTTGATTATCAATTAAGGTACGAGATACAAGGGACTATACAAAAAAAGGTTACACAAATAAACCTCATAATTTTTTTCCCTTTAGTCTACTCACTGAAGAAGCCCAATAATAGGACAAACTCATATATAGAGACTATTGTATCCCTTTTCAAACAATTAGTAATCAACAACAGCCACGTGCCTTCTTTTAATATGTAATTAGAGGCAGCTGTGCCCAGGACATAATGGAAAGCTACAGAACTAACTTTTACAAATCCAGTTGCCACACAGGTATGTACCTTCTTGGAGGGCAGAAGTTGGAACACCAGGTGCAGCGGCCGGTTTGTGTCGTCTGTAGCTGTCATCACAGCGGTGAACAGATCCTCACATGCCCCCAGCTCGTCCTCCTGGCTCCATGAATCTTCTTCTGCCTCTCTCTCTGCAGCTCTCTCTGCTGCTCTCTTCGCCTACAGACACCACAGCAAAATTCCAGGTAACCCAACTTTAAATCATTTGATTGTTATAGCTTGTGAAAAATTAAGTTCACTCTACTATCAACATAGTATCGTACTGGAATAAATCAATGGTTTCTACTAGGGATGGACGAGATTGGACTTTTAGTTCGAGACGAGACGAGACGAGATTTTTTATTTCTCATAAAATTTCGAGACGAGATCGAGACGGGATTTCCCTTCTCATACACAACGGGAAATGCACGTTCGAAATTTTTACCTGATTTTGTAACATTGTTAGATGACTGTTTAAATACAAAAATAATGATAATAGGCAAGAATATTTACAATCTTTTATTAAAAACATCAGCATAACATTTTTTTATTAATCACGCCTAAATTATTAAAAATGCCTACGATTAGGAAACATAGTGATATCAGTTAGGATAGAGTTCAACTTATCCTAAAATAAAATAAATCATAAAATAAAATATTAATTTTTATAAAATAGTTACTTGTTTTGACTTTTTTTATAGTAATAAAACATTCCTCACACTGCTAAGACTTAACAAAACTTCTCAAATGTTATTAAAATAATTAAAGTAATATTTACATTTGAAGAATTAATTAAATAAGAACGCCTTCGCAAAGGAAACGCAACTACAACACGCTCCTGTATTGCGGGTATTGCATTGACTTTCTGCAGGCGTTTTTAAATTCTTTTTTTTTTTTTTTTTTTTTTTTTTATTCTCGTCTTGATAAAAATCTCGGCCAAAAAGAAATCTCGTCTCGTGTAACGAGATTTAAAATTTCCCGAAATTTCGAGACTTGACCATCCCTAGTTTCTACATTCCATGCCACATTCACCATGCAGTATGGAGTGTTCATGAGCCATATTTCAAAGAGCAGTCTGAGATACCTGCCGTTTATTAAGACATTAAGACCCACAAAAGGCTGTATAACATTTTAAGAATGAGCAGCAATATTTGTGTTTATGAGTTATGAACTAAACTCAAGACTTAGTCCAGAACTAACTACAGAAAATGTATTTTGGAGATTAATTTTTGAACCAAAATAAATTTGAGGATTCTTTCTAGTCTCGATATTAGGTTCTAAATTGGCATTAGTTTCCGCAGCTGTCAAAGTATTCAGCTATGCAACTTTGAGTTTAGTGTTGAGTGGGATCTTGGCGTTTACAAGCAAGTGTTCATGTTTTCTTTTGAAAGTATTTAATAAATTCTAGAACGACTTATCAACATTGATATACCATAAATAAGAAAGACGACTGATGAATTTTCTGTGTGGTAATATTTTTTTACAAAAAAGACTGTAAAATTGTGCAGTGTAACATTTGTAAGAAGACCGTTTCAAACTTTAGAGACCTTACAGGAGATTCCACGCTATTTAAAAGCTAAAAAGTTGAAACCATAAAACAGTATGGTTCTTGGATTGATCTCGGTATCAGCTAGGACAAATCCTGAAATACCGGTACCGGGATTGGATTAAAGCCCCAAAATTGAGACCCCTAGTCACATCCTTCCCAACAGCACAATAGATTTTAAAAGTTACATTTTGTGTGGGGATTAATTGTTGTTATTACTGGGCCTAATAGGCTCTTTAATAATATTTGTTTTAGGCATTTTAGGTTAAATTTTAATTCCCAAATTATCTGTGATTTTGGTTACCATGATCACTCAGCCACTCATTATCGCGATTGTGAGTCTACTGTAATGTCGACTATACCAAAGTCAAAAAAATACCAATAGCCTATAAAAAAGAAAAAAATTACAGAAATGTGGAAAAATCTTTTAAAACCTTTATGAGGGTCACAAGTACAGTTGAAGCAACCCTTATGTAAACATAAATTTAATAGCACAGATCTTTCATAAGACCTGTTTTTCCATGTGAATGTATTATTAAGTTTGAGTATAGGCATTGACTATATAGTCAATTGTATAGGTAAGAATTTAGATAATAAGACTATTTTTTGTCTACTGTCAACATGTTTTAGCTGCCTAACACAGACATGAACTAATTCAATATAAAATGGTAGAACATTGATGGACAAAATTTAGGAAATCCATGATGAAAAATAACAAATCGCAAAGCTGTTGAATACATTGTGCAGATGACAAAAAATATAACAGAAGACTATCTGGGACTCAATCAACACAGAGAAACCATCTATAAAAATATAGAAAGAATCCTGTGCATGTCTGCAAATAAATATCATTAAATAAATACTTTGATTGGATAGCAAACTTCACACTAAGAATATTGTTAACAATTAAACAATATACAAGTAGGTAACAAATATGAAAACCTTCCTAGGTAAAACATCAATTTAACAAGTTGTAAAATGCAACAATCAATAATACATCTTGCTTTAAAAGTATAAGAAGATAATACACAACATAAAATTAACATGCAGACAACATAAATGTAATATCTACAATCAGGCCAACAGGTTAATTATGTTAAGCAAACGTTTACTGTATTTTTCATGCTATATGTGGTTAAAAGTAGCTTAACAAAATACTGGTCAGATAAATGATACCAATAAGCATACCAAACATGAGCGTTAAAACAAAAAGAAAAGGGTTTGAATGATGATCAAATGATGGATTGAATGTGCAGTTTTTCAGAAGGATAACTTATTATCATTGTAGGAATAGTAATTAAGTCTTATTTAGTCTAACTACCTCCTACTTGTAAAATTATGAAAATACTAAATATCTGTTAAACATTGTTTGGAAGTCATAAATGACTTCAAATAATTACACATGCAAACAACTGTATTGTTTGCATATAGCTCTAACAGTTCTAAAAAATTCTTTTAATAAAAGAGGTTGGCAGTTTCTTTTACCTTCCATTTGCTCGTCCACATAGGCCACAGAGGCCTGTGCATGGAACATATCCAGCAAAGCAAGGGGTGAGCCGGTACACTACAAGGGCGAATTGTACTGATCAAAAGTAGAGGCAAGTAACAGGAACCGAACCCACGATATCATTGCCTTGGGCCCAAAGCCTGTGGCGCTACTGACAACCTCGGATTTACCAAAGTAAACTCCCAAAATATACCCATGTTAGATTAATACCAAAGATCTTTACTTGGTAAAATTTAGGCTTAATTTGCTAACAAGATTCATAGAATCCCATGTTGGTTAGGTGATTAAATGAGGTCCTAACAATATCTTTAAGATAATTTGTGTAATCTTGAATGTTAATAAGTAATTTAAAACCGAGTTTTATATTATAACAATTATTTTCTTGGAACATTTTATATTTTTGAAATCAATTTCCTTTTATTAGGCTCTAAAAGTGTTGTAAAAATGTTTAAATAGTCAATGCGGATGTAGGCCAAAACAAAAGGACGGATGCATACCTACTTAAATCAAGAACAGTTAAAGTACATTGTAAATGTGAAATGGTGGATAATTGTAGTGTGCTAAATTGAGACAAGAGTCGTGCAATGATGCCATTCACATTCAAATTGCATGTCATGATACGAACAGAGATGACTGTAAGTACAGTGTGGATTCATTTACAGTTTTCCCATTTTTCATTCCACATGAGTAATTTCTTGTAGTCCCACAAAAAAATAATATTTTTAATTTAACATTTAAAGTACAGTAAAACCCTTTCTAACTGCACTCCATAAAAACAAAGCAGTAAAGATTAATAACTTTCCTATAGTTTTCAAATCTCTTCCATTTTGAAATGTTAACTTTGATATAGATGATTTCCTTAACCAACAACTCAAGACTAGATATAATACCTAAGTTTCAACAAAACCAACTGACAAGGGCAGGGGAGAAAACCGTTTAGTTTTTAAAAAGAATTAATACCTGGATTGGTATCAGCTTTACGACCTTCTGGAACATTTCTTTCTCGAGCTAATAACTAAGTTACAGTCCCCGAAGCCCTGAAATGTTTATTAAACCTTGAAAAAGGAGTGGGAATATAAGAAAAAACCCATCACGGTAACCGTTGAGATGGGATTTTTATTTTCCTCCCCACCCTGTATACTATACCTCCTCCTCCCACCCCTTCTTCTCCTCCTTGGGCGGTCTGCCAGGGCCTCGTCTCTTCTTCTCCACCGGCTGGTAATCCGGCTCCTCCTTTACAGTGACCTCAGCTGCCTGCAAATCATCTTACATACAACAAACATCACTCCATCTTCTGCCGGCCCTCAATGTCCTACACCTTTAAAAACCTTTCAACCCAGATGAATATTGAGGCTCGACATAATAAAGGAATCACCATAACAATCTGCTACCATACATAAGACCAAAATCATGCACAAAACTTGTAATTGATGTATCAGAGTTCAGATTTCTGATAACAGAACAGTTTAAATCCACACAAAAAGGTAAACCTCAACAGCCTCTTGCCAAAAACTGTTTAATTGACACAAAATAGAAGAATTAACACAGTAAAAGCTGATGATGCATATAATGAAAATATGTGTATGAATGATTGGAGAAATTTATGAAATTTTTAACATTCGTGCAATACTTAAGCAGAAATCCCTCTAAACTATAAAACCCAATGTTGGTACACTTTAATGGCGAACTTCGATTTTCACTTGGTGGTAATAAATACAAATTTTGAAAATTCAATATTAGATCATGGGTTTGCAAAATAAAATTGCTTGACTTATATTTGGTGGGTAGAGAATAAAGAAATTTAGATTTAGTTATCTTCCATTTTAAATCAACACTTGCACACTTGCCCTTGTTTGGCATATTGTGTATTGTTAAGTTAACACAGACCACAAAAAAAATCAACACACAGTAATTAATTAGAACTGAAATTATACAATTATTTTAAATTATGATCGTTAAGTGTTTTAAAATGTAATTGTGAACCAAATAGAGATAAATTTACCATTAAAGTGACCACAAAATCATAATTAAGATACCTGAAAGCAATAAGAAAGATTAGACTGCATTAGTGCCCAGCCACCCAACAGACTGTACAAGGTACACCCTTCTAACAGTGCCTTATCTTTTATAACTAATCACTAAGCATAGGTTTAGATTTTCTGTTATAATTTAAAAACCATTGACAGCAAAATCTTAGTTTTCACTTCATAAAAAAATACTAGCCAATTAAATGTTACAAACAGTGTGAAATTGGCCGAACAGTTTAAGAAAACACAGCAACTGGTTAATTCTGCACTTCCCCGGTGATGGATTATCAAAAGTACTGGATTGCTGAGCGCCATAAAAAATAGCCTTTATTGCAAGAAAAATATAAATATTGGTAAAACAGGGATTTAAATGGTTTGTGTTAGGTACCAAATATTTTCTAATTTAGTTGTGATGTAAAATTTTTGGATTAAAAAATATGTATGTTTATTAAACATTATATTCAAATACAACACAACAATGTTGACTGCAAATCTAAAGTGTAATGTTGCACTGATAAAATGTAACTTATACGACTCGCTAATTGTTGTACACAGAGTTGTAATAGCTCCCCTCGTTTTTTTTTTCCTATTAACCAGATGGATAGTCATGCAAAGAAGTCTGGGATGGCAACTGAACTCGGTCACTTACTAGTTTGCCTACTTTTAAGATGATTTTCCCTTTTTCTGGTGTTTCATCAGATGTAAGGGACTTGGGGTCTTCGAGCAGTTTTTGCTTTGTAGCCAAAAAAAATTCCCATAACTCACAAGCATCTTTGTGTTCTTGAGAATTCCTCTGAAAAATACACATTATTGATTAAACTTATGCTGAAGGTTGTTACGATAAGTTGATCTGGTGTTGCACTCCTGTCAAAGGGAGTTTTGTAATTGTATAGAAAGACATATGATGATGTTGATTAACATTTTTCATATTTTCTGGTTGCTTGTTAAAAGACAACTACAAAATATGCCATTTGTAACGACTTAATTAATTGTAAGCCTAATCCTCCAACAAAAGGGATGAAATTCGGAAAAAAGGATGAAAATTATTACTTTCCAGTTATTATTAAGTTATAAAAATAACACAGGGTTCTAAGAATATCAATGCAAAAATTACAAGTTCATATATGATACTTTCATCTTAATTAGCAAATATAATATGGCTGTAGGGCGTTGAAAACGTTTATTAATGGCCAGCTTTTGCTAAGTAAAGATTTAAAACATGCTAATTTTATGCTTAAAAGACAAAAATCTACAAAATTCCCAAACAAAGATTAAAAGGCTAGCATTCCAACATTGTTTAAAACTAGTAAGCAACTTAACTAAAAATTCTCACTTTTGAAAATAATCTACAAAAATTGCGTTTGAAAAGTTATGTTTACAGAACAAAAAGTAGAACCTTGAATTACATTGTTTTTTTTTTCAATTGCCTTAGGAGCTTATCTTTCTTTAAACTGGTAGCCTTGTTGACAAAAGTATATATGTAAAAGTATCCATGTATGGGCTTACTTTATAAAATGCTTTGGCATTGTTGATGAGCAGCTCTACATCATTCTGAAGCTCTTCCACATCTTCATATTCATCTGTTTTCAACTTTTGCTGGATCTTTAACAGGTCGATTGGATTTGAAACCACCTAAATAAATAACAATAATGAGTTTAAACAATTTAAAATATCATATATCATAGGTTACATCATTATTGAAATTTAGATTTGTTGATTAACTTTAAATAAATTATTAGGTGCTTTTTCAGATAATAGATTTGTGTTACGGTAGCTGTTAATCTACTGTATAAGGTTTGTCAAACCATACTTTATAATACCCCCTGCCGCAGTAAAGCTGCAGACTAAGCGAATTTCTATTTGACCGATTGGATTTTGACTATAATTCCTTTAACTTGTCAGATTAATTGCCTATTAGTACTTAGATTTGCCACTAAAGGGGAGGGAAAAGTATGTTTTTATGAAAAAATGTTATATTTACTGTACTTAGCAGCCTATAGTATGAAATAGAGAAATTTGATCAAAATATATCCATAAAAAAGCAAACTAGAAGTTTCTTTTTCTCCATTAACTAACACGTGGTGTGCGGCCGTTCCCGATCGGGTACGGTGCTTGGCCCCCGAACGGTGCGTCCGTACCCCATCGGGAACGCTCGGCAATGCCTTTTGTATATCTTCGTTTTTGCTCTAGCGACGGCCGAAAGCGGACCTATGCCACGTTAGCGTGTAGTATGTGACTTGCATTTTGTTGGGGTGTAGGTTGGTAGTAAATTTCCCCGTAAAATCCCCGTCTGGCAAGCTTAAAAATCTACTTTTCGTCCCGTCTATTACCCTCCATTTGGCAATACAATTCCAATGGGACCAGCTACGTTCCAAGCAGTGCTGCTAACTGTGGGTGTTTAGCGAACTACGTCGACTCTCGTTGTAAAGCAGGACATCCCCGCACGTTATTTGCGCTATTCGTCTGACCAAAATTGGATAGCCAATCACACGCGGCAATCGGGTTTTTTCGAAGCTGAGGGCTGCGCCCCACTGGGGATATGCCCGCCATTTGACGTGCCGCAGCGAACGTGTTAAGACTAACTCAGAAATTTTGAATTTTTCCCCCTGTGACTTTTAATCCTACAACAACGCTTCAATATACAGTGGAATCCCGATAATCCAAACTTCGGTATAATTCGAAAGTCCGCTTAATCCTAAACATAAATTTTTTTACCAGTACGTGCTGTCACTTATAGGCGAAAGCCGAAACTACTAGCACAGTAGCGTGACTACATTAATGCAGTTTATTGTAGACACAAAAAGTGATGACCCAGTACGTGCTGTCACCCATTGGGAAAAGCCGAAACTACGTATAACGTCAGTTAGCTGTACCTCGTCGAAGTATTCTGTACTTATTCAATTGTATACATCCCTACAAGTTCATGCCAATTTTCATCAAATTTAATCAAGTTATTGTGTTCACGGACACATCATACTATATAGGTAACATTAGTTGAAGCTGAAAGTTTGTCTCTTTGTTTGTTTAAGACTCATCAGGCATTAACTACTGGCAGGGGTGCCCAGAGGGGGGGGTACTGTGGCGCGTTTGCGCCACAGGAATTTTTGGGGGGGGACTTATTTTGAGATTTTTGGGGGGGATATTTTTTTGCTAGCTGTAAAAATGAATGTATAATTTTGTGTAAGCAGCCCGAAAAAGTGTTTCTAAGTAGCTCACTATCACCACCAAAAACATTTTGCCGTTCGTAATTAAGATAGCTTCTAAGAATGGTAAAAACGGACCTTGCCAGGCAATCCTTAATATACCAGTGTCGAATTTTACTTGCTACATATGTTTTGGTGGTTCTTTAACTCCACCATCGTCAGGATTTAAAAAAAGATCCACTTCTGGAGGTGTCGTCAGAATACGACAAACATTTGATACAAAACACGAAACTATTACAGATAGGCCTGTCAATCCCTACATTGCCGTCGGCAGGACTGGAAGTAGAAGTAAGTAAAGTAAACTGAATCAGGTTCAGGTTATGGACCGACGTGGTCTCTGGATTGTCGTCTGCGTTTTCAACAGCTGGTATTGGACTACTGTAGTGACTGAGAAGAGTATTGAAAATATAATGGGATTCATAATTAATTGAGTGTTTTCACTAAAAAATTTGGTGCTGTCAATAGTTTTATGTATATTTCAAACTCCTCAAAGTATTTAATAAATTTCCTTTTCTGCAGTAATGTAGAATGTCGAGACCATCCAGCATATAAATTGGTTATTATTGTCAATAATTTTGAATGGAAAAATCAATTATGAATCTCATTATATTTTTAACACTCTCCTCCGTCACTAGAATTAGTCCATATTTCAGCTTTTGATAACACAAACACCAATCCAGAGACCACGTCTTTCCGTCATTACCTGATTCAGTTTACTTCCAGTCCTGCCCGCGGCAATATATAATACACGCGTGAATTGATAGGCCTATCTGTTATCGTTTCGTGTTTTGTGTACAAACGGATTGTCTGACAAGATGCGTTTCTACCATTATTAGTCATAACAGGCAATCCTGGGGCTATCAAAATGAATTATAAGATTACTTCGTCACAAAAACCTTTTGTACTGGTGGCAAAGATACTGGTGGGATTAAGAGATACTGTGGGTATTTTGCCTGGCGATTTTTGTAGAAGGCAGCCTGGGAGTGGCGAGCAACAAGTCTGTCTTATTTCGTGACTCTGCCTATAATTGTGAAACAATAATATACTTTTTGCCAAAGTATTATTAATGCACTTAAAGCTGTTTGAATTCTTAAGCCCTGTAAAAATTAACGCCACCTAATATTGTACAGTTACAGTACTGTGTTGGAGTAGAGTAATTCACCGAGTAGGCCTATATTGTTGTACGTTTTGAAGACATTGTCTATTGCAATACTGAGCACACATATTGGCTGACAATACAGATTCTGAATTGTAAATTGAAAAACTTCTAATTCGTCCATTAGTTTGATTTATATTGATGTATTGTTAAATGACGTTTCATATTAAACATTTAATTTTGATTATCAGCAAGTTTGTTTTTCGTACCTGCTCAAGTTTACTAAATACTTTAAATGCTTGTTTTATGAGGTAAAGGGAAAATTGTCAAATAAATTGGTGAGGGGAGGGTAGGTTTAAATAGACGGCAGCATAAATTGGGGGGGGGACTACTCCTCTTGCTTGGGGGGGAGGATTGCGCCTCTGGGTTTGGGGGGGATGGGCACCTCTGACTACTGGTAGGATTGGGCTGAAATTTGGCATGATGATAGCTCATATTCCCCACTAACATATTTGCATATATATCTGAAATGTTTCCACCTCACTGCTCTAGAGCTTCCCGTCTTTGCCTTATGGTTTTCCATATTTGAAAATGTCAATGTGTATGACTAGGCTACCTCGTAATATCCAGGTTCCTGTCGTCGTTTGGGCACCCGGATGAACGCATCACACAGCAGACTTCCGTCTTCTTTCTTGTGGTTACGAATGAGTTCGTAAAGCTGATGCACTGTTTCAGACTGAAATAGATTCAAGATTCAAAGAGTCTTCATTCACACAGTACAAATTTTCGTACATGAATAGTGTCTATTGTTACTTACTACCTAAATTAGCAATAAGAAACATTTCAACAAAATACTATAGGCTACATTATTTTAAATATATCAAAAAGGTGTGGTCAATACAATTGGGAGAATATCTACATTTAAATAATAGTCTTTTGTGAATGTAAAAAAAATATATATATATGTATCGGGATAGTTTGTTTGAACCAAAAATCTAAATATTTCCTTAAAAACGCAAAGGTCGTTATGTATGAAAAAGATTTTACTAGCGTAGATTTCAAATTACTGAATTCCATTACTTTTTTAATTCAAATTACTGAACAAAAAGATTTGTTGTGTTCTGAGTGTTATACTCAACGTACTCAGTGTTTTTTTTATTTGTTACCTCAACTCACCCTGTGTACAGTTAAGCCTGCTCTAAACAAAGTCAAACCTATTCCAGACCAAAGCCCCTTACAAAAAAAAAACTTAAGTATTTGGATGATGTATTTAGTTTAAATTTAACTCTTACGGGATCCAGCTTTTTCCTCTTCTTTGAGGGTTCTTGAATTGAATCTTCATCGTCCTCATTCTTGCTACCACTTGCAACTGAAGAAGTCCTTCTCCTCTTCAAAGGAGGTCTGCCTGGTCCTACAGTAAAATTATGAGATAAGTACGGTAAGTAATATCAATCCACTAAAACGAATGTAGGTAATTACTACCTACAAATATATTTGTAGGTAATTAATACCTACAAATATGTTTTTCCATATAGGCCTACATAAGGGAAAACATATTTGACCGTAAAAAAGCCAAAGATAAAATATGAGTTCTCCGAAACACCTAATGAGTTAATAAAAATCCAGAAGAGCAAGTCATTGGGCATCCTTCTACTGATCCATCTCTTTTTCCAACAGGACCTTGGTTTAATCGACCTCACAATGTCACATGCTTCTTCTAATAACTCCTCAATAACCGTATCAATCAGTGTTACTAATTATAAACCCAACTGTCGTAATCTAAAACTACGCCATTAACAACGGCATGGCTTGAGCATCCACTTGTGTGTTTAAACCTCTAGTGACGTGACACTAAAACTGGCGTGGTGATTTAATGGCGCCATTGCTCCATGCTAGTTTTTAACCTAGCTTAATAGAGGTTCTACTAAACAACATTTTGGTCCACAGTTACCACACAAATCCCGTGGCCTAATATGCGCCAGTGTCAAAAGTTGGCTACTCAACAAACATTCTGTAGGGGTAAAATGGGATTAAATCTGAACCTACTCTCCAACTACTTAAAACACAAGAAAATACTAACCTCTTTTCATTGGGGGTGTTCCACCGCTTGTGTCTGTGGTTGTTTTAGGTCGCATAGTACTAGGAAGTCCTGTGAATACCTGTGAAAATACTAGAGATCAAAAATGTGCAAAATGCATTCTAACTTGCTTGCATCAACTGAAACATAGCCATAAAAACTGTGCGAGTTCTAATACATACATAGTAATAACTGATTTTCCGTTAAATGTTTTCACTAGAAAAGGCTAACTATGATGGAATTCTATGCACACAATACAAGTATCTGCCTGCAATTATCAATGCTCAGTTTTATGTTGTATTTAAAATAAATTCCTTTGTTTTTTGATTAAGGGTAATATTTTAGTTATTTGAAAAGCCTTTTCAAATCAACTTCGTAATCAACTTGTTCATTTTTGCATGTCTCTTACATACCAAAAAGCACTTAAACACTCTCATTCTCCACAGGCACGTACACAACCATGGGACACGAGGTTAAAACAAAATCTGCTGACCCTACACAAGACTGACCAAGGTTCTCACATCCTTCGAAGCTACAACACACCTGACCCTCAATTGACCTTTTCAATTGCTTGCCGTTTTCAGCTCAGCATGTTAGCTTCTAAGGTAGTTTTAAGAATGTGTGTGTTGTGTAGTTTTAAGGCGTTTTTTTTCTACAGCCTAAAAGAATATTTTGACGCAGACTTTAGCTCCATCAATTTTGCATGATGTTTTTAGTTGTTTTTTTTTTTCTAAAATAGCCACTCTTATTTAATTTTGTAGAATGAACACTTATTTTTTTATGCTTGCTTTAGTGTAGAATGTTTTATACTATTGTACTTATGACTGTCTTGTGCATTTCAAGTGTCCATGACAAGATCGATTGCATGTAACTTTGCCTAAAGATCAATAAATGTCTTATGTCTTAGGGTCAACGTGGGTAATTGTGAACGCCAATGACAAATTTTTCAGATAAACGCAATTTACAAGAAAATTGTAAGTAAGTTAATTTTTAAAATGTGATTAGTGTTATAGCATTATACATATTTTGGGCTTAATATTTCATATAAGCCGATTTCACCCCCTATTTAGTTAAGGAGTTATTCAGCATTCACAATTGCCCGGACAGCATTCACAATTAATTGCCTACAATTTTGGGGTTAATGTGAACTCAGTTGAGAAAACATTAAGTTACATACTACAGCATAGGAGGGGAATTGTAATTAAAGCCTAATTCAAACTGTTCACAAATTCCCCACTTCAATGGCATGTGACAAAAAATAAGCGTGCAAATGAGATTTTTCAGTGGTACTTTGAAATAGTTAAAAAATCAGGTAGATGTAAAAATAATAAAAAATGGTCAGAATAATTGAAATTAAAGCATTTAATGGGTAAAATAGTATTCTTATACAAGAGAAAATAATATAGAGTATAGTTATTTGGTACAGTAAAGTAATAGTTTAAAGGAAATGACCAAATAATCTCACTGTAATCAACGAAAGAGCACAAATTTGTTTCTTAAAATTATTAAATCCTACTGTAATAACAATCAACCATTAGAAAAGAAAACTAAATTACCTTGGTTAGATCAAATAATTAGGCACTTTCCTTTTAGGCTATAGGCCTACGAAACATTAGTTGTACTAAATAGTTTCTTTATCTTGAAAAACCTTAAAAACTAGCTTATTTAGAAATCAAATCACTAACAGATGTGCCTACTAACTGTCCTGTCCCCTATATTTCAAAAACTGGAACAACACAACCTGGAAACTAGTAAGTAATCTGTGTTTCTTTTTACAGGCGGGGTAAAAGTGAACAGCGTTCACAATTGCCCCAAGATTAGGTTCACAATTACCCCCACATAGTGAAATATTGAGGGTAATTGAGAATTTGATAAAATAAAAAGATAATTGCTTACATGAAGGGTGAGGATATTTAATGCATTGTACATTTGAAATTCTTTCACAATTAACTTACTAGTTTTCATGCCAATTTTACTTTTACTTTTTTCACAGAAAATATATTTGTTAAGGTCTAAGCGCAACTTGTTTGTCAACAAAAAACTTTTTTCTTTCAACCTAAAAAAGTTAAGCACCTCTTAACTTTCTAGAATTTTTATCCTGTATAGAAAACAAACCAAATAGCCTAAACATAAAACATTGATTTCTACTCAAATCAACAATACACTATTATCGGGACCACGTAAGTTTGCAGTTGGTCTGTGTGTGTGCGGTTGCCAATCACAAGACAAGGCTAGTGCGACGTTGCCACATCGCCCGTTGACAACACTAATAAAAATATACTAAGCAATATTTTCAAATCAGCTGGTATTATTAGATTTGGCAACACCACACGGTTCTCATTGGTTCATTCAAAACCATATGGTAAATAGGCTCCTCCCTCAACTGCAAACTTATAGTGGTCCCGACTCTAAGAAATTACAGCCCTAAGTTTAGTTCACAATTCCCCCAGTTCACAAATTACCCACATTCACCCTACGTCTTATGTTTCACCAAGATTTTAGTGTAAAAATAATTTTGTGAATAAGCTCAATAATTCCACAAAATTAAGTTACAAACAGTTTTAAAATAAATTGATCGTAATAGTAGGCTAGGCTACAATTAAATTAACTTAAAGGCTAGACCTAACTTTTGTCTGCGCCAAAATATTTTGTTAGACAGATGAATAGTTTATAGGGATACAAATTATTAAGTTATAGCCTAGGTCCCATGGTCACCTGCATTAAAATAATTACTTACAGTATGTATAGTTTAAAAGGCTATTTCAAGCTTAAAAGCCCTGCCCTGGTAAAACTGAACTTATACTACTTATGTTATATTGAATTTGTTTTGCCTTATCTACCTAAATTAGACTATTTTAACCCTACGAGTGTCCATAGTTTAGGCCTTAATGTCCGCCTATTTTTGGCGCATTTGCAAGGTTTTATTAAAACGGATCTAAGAAGCTTAAAACAATGTTAATTCTACTGTTCTATATACCATTTTGTTTGGAAAATCATGGGCTTCAATATTATACATAAAACATAAGGAACATTTGTTTCAAAAATATTTTTTAGGTAAAAAAAAAATATTTGGGAAAATTTTCAAAAAAAAAAATAAGTTTGCGCTCAATGAAATTGTCTAAATTATAGGCCTATAACTTAAATATTTGAAAATAGCCACTTTGTTCTAAATTTTATGAGGATTACAAATATAAAATAATATAAGGAAGTAGATTTGCAAATAAATAAGTTATGGGCAAAAAACAGATTTCAGTACATAGCGTTTAGCTAAGAATGCATAGCCTAACCATAGCTAGGAATCTGGCTGATAATTTACATCAATATCACTACCTACTTCTTCAGGATCATCAACCAGCCCTTCAAAATCACTTAAATCTTCTTATAATGCACCACGTATATCACTACTTTTGATTTTTAACACTAAAACAATGATAAACGTAATAAAACACATCAGTCATCGGTCCGAGGTTAACTAAGCTGTTTACAAATACGAACGTCAGCTGTCTGCTACAATATTTTCGGAACTAAAATGAATAGCGCTTAGAGACAGACCTCCGGAGAAAGCTCTGAATTTAACAAAAAGAACGATACCTAACTCGATCCAGTTCAATCCGATTCAGTCAGTCATAGAGCCTTCGCCGTAAACGATGTTCGTGTGTCGAAAAATCGACAAGTGACACTACACAAAGTGTGTCGTGAGTCGATTTTTCGACAAGTGATGCTCAGAGGGTTAAGCACTTTTTACCATTGGCACTTTTGGGAGAAACGCCTATTTCACCCCGAAAATCACGTTTGAAAATCAAGATACCCCCGCCGCAGCAAACCTGCAGACTAAGCGAATTTCCATCTACACATCTGGAATTCCACTAAATTATTCCCTTAAAATTGTCAGATTTATTTCCTATTTAAATATATCATTAATATTAATGAGTACCGGTACTTAGGTTTGCTGCTATAGGGAAGAAAATAGGGGGTTTTTATTGAAATATTAATAGCTTAGTATGAAGTAAACAAAATTTCAAAATTTCATTAAGATATGTCCATAGACAAGCAAGCTACAACACTGTATTTATTCTCCATAAGAATAACATGGTAATTTTAAATTTACACTGTTTTGTGATTTTTCCGTAACCGTTAGGCATGCAACAATGCTTCAATATACTAAATTATTTGTTTTTTGGAGCTCTACAAAATGGTTTAGAAAGAAATTGCAAAATTTTATGTTTTCAGGGTGAAAAATTAGAAAAACCCATTTTTACCCCATAAAACCCCCCATAAACCCCTGTTCCCATAGTCCGATCATGCTGGTTCGCGAACTCGTTCGAATAAATGTAGGTTTACACATTTATACCAAATTTCATCAAAATCGGATCATTTTTGCTCGAGTTATCGCGCTAACGGACACATATATAAATATATATATATATATATATATATATGAATTTGAACGGATGGTGTTTTTTGGCCTCTGGGGACCTCAAAACAAAAAACTAAATCGGTCCCGGGTCCAGGTCTTACCATGAGACCTACGGTAATAGCTTATTCCCTATATGGGAAATTCGCTAAAAAATGCTAGAAATGAATGATTTTTGGGACTTGATCATTTTCTTTTTAACTTAGGGTTGGGGTTTTTTATTAATAGTCCATTTTAAACACTTTTATGGCAAATGCCGTTTTTACCCAGGAAATCAGGTTTGAAAAATCGTAAAAAATAGTTAAGTAGGCCTACCGTACCAAAAATGACCTCATTTTTGGGTAAACCAAATTAAATATATAATAAACTAACTTAACCAAACCTAACCTAACCTAACCCAACCCAACCTAACCCATGCTTAGGTTAACACTGCCAAAATGACCGATTTTGGGTAAATCCTGGTTAAGTTCTAGGTTAGTATTAAGTTATTGACACTAGTAAAAAGAAGTTGGGTAGGCCTAGGCCTACACTTAATACCGCTATGATAATACCGATTATTAGTAAACCTTCATTCAATGTTCTCACTATCAGCAAGTTTGGTTGGTTTCAAATTCAAATTGTTTATTTGGCCATTAAACATTACATAATAGGTTATGATAGTTTAATTTTATAACTGATATGGCTGGTAAATATAGGCTATCAATTATTTACAATATTTTTAATTTGGTAGTTTCAATAGATAGCCTATTAGCATAAGTTAGTCCAGTTAAGAAATTGTACCCAAAAAGTTTTACATGCGTCTAAAATTGCCAATTTCTAGCATTTTTCTTGATTTTCAAACACGATTTTCAGGGTTAAATAGGCGTTTCCCCCAAAAGTGCCAATGGTAAAAAGTGCTTAGAATAGTCTAATTTAGGTAGATAAGGCAAAAAAAATTCAATATAACATAAGTAGTATAAGTTCAGTTTTTCCTCAATGGTAAATTTTAACAAAACTTAGTTGAATGAATCAGGCCACCGAATCAATTTTAGTCATTAGGCTATTCACTTTCCCAAACCACAACTAACTTACAAGTTAACTTAATTTTTATCTTGTGAGAAACTGAAAAGCATTTAAAAGTTAGGCCTAGTCATTTAGCGTCAATCGGTGATTTTTAGTCAGACAAATCGCTGAATCAAATTTAGTTATTATTCACTTATTCCAAACAACGTCTGCACTTTACTTTAGGTCCTACACTCTTTCGAATAAAAATATTGATCGATATATCGATTGTTTTATTCGATATATCGTTTGGTTAGTTAGGTAAGAAGGTTAACCTAACCGAACTAACCAAACGATATATCTAATGAAACAATCAAAATCGATATTTTCATTTGAATGAGTGTAGGACCTAAAGTAAAGTGCAGCCCAAAGAACAACTAACTTACCGGTAAGTTCATTTTACCTGAATCGCTCGGTAAGACTAATTCAACCGAATCAGGACAAAATAACCGAATTAGTCTGTTTAGCATCAATAACCGATTGTTTCGGTTAACTTATTTTCATTCTATGATTCCCACCACTACCTGGGAGGCCTAATGCAATGGCCAAGCTATTGATAAAGGGTAAGTCAAACTTAGATCAAGCCTAAAAATAAGCTAAGTTATCTAACTTAACTTAGGCCTGGATAAGGCTAACAGTTTTATTTCACGTGTGCTTAAAATACACTTCACAGAAAATGAGGCTAAAACATAACGAAATTAAATACATTGTATGATTGTATTTTGAGAAAATGACAAGAAGCCAAAGAGGATGAGCCTGAGCCAAACAAACGGAATAGGTGCCTACACCTAATCACTAGGCTAATACAGGACAGTAAGCCATGGAAATGAAGTAAACATTTAATAAATTAACGTAAACATAAATCTAATAATAGTAACTAAACATACCTGACTAGACACTACAAAAGGGATTTAATATCGTCAAATCAATAACTTATCTTGTCGATCACAGAAGCCGCCCAACACAACACAACACTGAGAGAACGGCCATGTTTGAATGATTTCAGGATTACCAACACAACAAACAAAAGCTAAAGCGATGACTTTGGGATTGGGAATTGTATAGTCGATTGTACAAAATTGTTTATAATCACTGAACTATTAATAACTCAGCAGTTGAAAATAAAATATGCCGGCCACACACAGCAGACCAGCAAACTAAGCGAATTCCCCTTATCCTGATTTGATTTTTACTTATATCTATTTTAACAACATTCAGGCCTACTTTTATAAATGGGCAGACTGGGCATATGCCCAGGGGCGCCCACCAAAGGCCACCGCCTGCCCACACAAGGAAAAAATGGGGGCACTGCTTTTGGGTTTGCCCAGGGCTCCACTGATCCTTAACGCGGCCCTGACAACATTAGGTTTAATGAGTAACTAGGTTTGCTGCTACAGGGAGGTTAGGCTGCACTTTACTTTAGGTCCTACACTCATTCGAATGAAAATATCGTTTGTTCGATTGTTTCATTCGATATATCGTTTGGTTAGTTAGGTTAGGTTAACCTTACCTAACTAACCATACGATATATCGAACGAAACAATCGATTAATCAATATATCGATCGATATTTCGTTCGAATGAGTGTAGGACCTAAAGTAAAGTGCAGCCATATGCATAAACAAGCAAACAACGTCAGTTTACTGTATATGGTTCAAACCATTGACTATGTACCACAACTTGAGTATATAGTCAACTACGCACAACTAGCGTTGTGGTACCAGGGGCCCATTTCATGATAAACTATTTCCATTAGATTTGCATTGGGTGATCAGCTGATTTACTAATAATATTAGTTTGTACTTTATTATGAAATGGGCCTCTGGCCGGGGCGCGGCCTTCGAAGTGGCAACGTCGCGAATGGTGTTCGGTGTTGTAACAGTTGTTTTGTTTGGAAGCAGCCAATGGTATTTGTGTATTGTTTAGTTAAAGGTGGCCGTGTATATTGCTATAATGTTCAAACACACACAGGACGCGGCACTGCACGGCACGGCGCCTTGACAATCTCTCAACTCTGTGTGTTCCTTCAATTTTTTTATTTATTTATTTATTCCAACGGATACACCATTTACAAAATAACATTAAAGTGCGTGTTTGTTTTTTTAACACGTAATGACGCGCCACACCACGGCCAACCTTAATTCCAAGCTGCAGCCTGGTAGAATTGGCAACGTTGCAAGTAGGGTTGTATAATCGATGGTACAATTGTTTATAACTTAGCAATTGAAAATAAAATACGTTGTTTAGTGTCTGGCGTCCCATAAGATAACACGGCAGACAGGTGACATCAGCTCATTATAATTCGCACTTTATTTATTTAGATTTGAATTTATGAATATAAATTTATTAAATATTGAAAATAAAACATACAGAATTGAAAACCAAAACAATATGAATTGAAAATCTATATCCGTACATTTAAAGCGGAGTCAATATTTTCATAGTAGTCAAGTAACTAAGCTTTCGTAAATACACAAATATCAGCTGCTTCCAAACAAAAAAGCTGTTACAACCCTTACGACAAGACGCGACCTGGAGTTAAAGGCGGCCGTGGCAACACCGTGCCGCGTCCTGCGTGTTTGTACCTTTTTCATTCACCATAAAGAATAACATGGGAGCTTTGTGTTTAAAATTTATTTAATTTTCTCCGTAGCCAATAACTGTACAAAAACACTTCAATAAACGAAATTATTTGTTTTTTAAGCTCCTCAAAACAATTAAAAGAAAAATGTGAAAATTTTATGTATTGAGGGTTGAAAATGGGAAAATAGGCTACAATTTCTACCCATGAAATAAACCCACCCATATATAACCCCGTTTCCATGGTCTGATGCTGGTTCACGAACTCATAGTTTATCCCGCCCTACACCTTCAAGACAAAATGTAATCAAAGTCTGATCAAAATTACTCAAGTAATAGTTTTCACGGACACTGTATACACAGTATAGCAATGTTTAATCTGTATGAAATAGTTGCACCACTATGTGTGAATGTGAACGAATATTTTGAGAAAATTTCATTTACAAAGAAATCCAGAACTCTGGTTTAACAAATAACATAAACAAGACTAAACATTCAAAACAGCAATAAGCTTTTACATAAATTAATGTGATTACATATCAATATTTTTAATCCGATAAGTATTTTGTGAAATCGGTAAGAATTTAGTTTTGGAAATATTTAAGGATACAGCTTTTTTGTCAAAATATTTTTTCATTAAAATAAGATCGTAAGTTAGCAGCATCATGAACTTATCCCAACTTGTTCCACTTTCTAGAATAATTGCAGTATCATTGGCAAATGAAAACTAAAAAATAGTTTGCCTTTTAGTGAAAGTCTTGTGATATTGTTTTTACAAGAAAAGGCAGGCCCAAGGGTGCCTCTTTGAATTACTCCATAGTTCATGTTCATGGGTTTGACCACTGGAAATTCTGTTAATCAATCACCATATTTTGCATTTTTTCACTACTATCAGATAAGTAACTTTGAAACCACTGGATGATGAATGATGCCATGAATGCCACTGTATAGCTTTTGTCACTCTTTTGCAGATTTCCATAAATTAAGAGTTTCTCCTCGAGTTCTATAAATATTGAGCATTGTGTGTTAATCACCTTGCCTGTGTGACATGATAATCCATAAATGTGGCATTTCATCACTGAGTGATTGAAGTGGTATCAAATTGTAAGTAGCTTGCATGGCTAGTTATTGAATACCGGTAATTAATTTTTTATATTGTTCCGGTGAAAATTTTAAGGTTTTAATGTTGATTATTTGATAATACTAATATTTAAACATTTGACCCTGCTTAGATATTTTTACAGCTACTTTATACATTTTAATATGTATTTATTTTTCCTTCGAACAATAATGATTGCTGAGCTTACTGACATTAGTTTTGCTATTAATAATAGTCAAAGCTATTGATTACTAAATTTACTACCCTAAGTTAGTTACCTTCTAGCTAGAGTGTTGTTATTTATGTATAATAGTCATATATATTTACAATATTAAATGCCCCCTCCCTTTTAAGGTCTTTATTTGAAGGAAAATGCCAGCAAAAATTATCAAATTAATACAATAAAAATATATTTTTTAAATTTCTAACAGCTAAATCAAAATAAAAGATGTACTTTGATTGATTGATTTTTAAGATTTTAACTTAAAAATCTATAATTCTTCCACCCATATAGAACTAACATATCGAATTGAATTCACATAAGAGATTTACTATTGATAGAAAATTTGTATTGCTCTTTTGAATTACAGATTGAAATTCTACTTTTTTGTGGGCTACCACAAAATTCCGTTATTTACAGTTGATAGGATTTGTTGTGTAAAACCTACCTTGTTGTAAAACCTTGTTTGACTATCAATACAACTTCAGTATCCAATAGTCAATGGTAAAACGCTAAAACTTATTATATAGGCCTACAGCTTTTTGGCAGGATAAAATACACATCCTAAGTGTTGTTCTTGGGCAAATAGTTTGGTATATCTAATGTATAATTGTTTATTATGAAACCCATCAAAACATTTCAAGTTTGAGAGAATACATTTTGTCACGTGATTTGCACATATGTAGTTGTTACCCTCTTATCTCATCCCAGATAGCACGTAAGCTTGATTCAAGCCTTGAATTACGCTTGCTTTTACTTGAAATGACAGCTTTGAATTGTCACTTTAGATTCAAACTCGAGTCAAATGTCAACTTCTTGTAACACACTTGAATTACGCTTACAGTGGATTGAATTAACAGCTTTGAAATGTCACATTAGATTCAAACTGGATTCGAGTATACACAACACACTACTATTACGCGTGCACTTGCTTGTATTAACAGCTTTGAAATATCACATTAGATTCGAATCCGAGTCGAGTGTAATATTACCCACAATGCACTTCCATTACGCTTACGTTGGTTTGAAATTACAGCTTTTAAGTATCTCGTTGGATTCGATTTGGAGTCGAGTGTAAGTTACCCATAATTCCGAGCGGGAACGACGCTAACGGTGGGACCGACACTTGGAAGACGCCATCGGCCATATTGCTTTGTTTTGTTTATTGTGTATTTGTGAGTGATTCATTCTCAATCTCTCTCATTGAGTTGAGAATATCGATATTGTGGTGCTGAGTTGTTCAAGTTATTATATTATATTGTTAAAGCTGATTTTTTATTAAGTTTCATCTAGGCCTATTTCTTCTTATCCATCAAGGTAAGTTCTTATTAGCACAAACTAAGTAAACTCAAGGATTGTGACTAACAAAATCAAATCGTCTTAAGTTAATTACAATAGCCTAGGAAGAAATTAAGTAAACTCAAAATCAGTGAAAATTTTGAAAGAGCCAAGTAAGTTATTGCCTAAAGCCAGCCACTTTTGAGTTGGTAAGCCTACGTGCAATGAGTAGCCTAGCCTAAAAAATAAATGTTGTCAACTTATCGGCCTTACTTTGAGTTGTTTGTATGCATAAAAACATATTTTTTTTACCAGCTTGGATATCAAGTTCTCCATGTAAGATACTTAGGTATTGTGGTACCTACTGGTATGGTCTAACTTAGGCCTAGGCATTGTCTTCACTATTCATAGTATAGACTATGGTAGGTTATAGCCTAGATTAGCCATAATGAGCCTAAGTTACGTTGTAGACTATTCTATAAAGCTGGGTTTTTCTAGGCGGGGAGAGAGTAGCGTGGAGAGTGAACTCCTCTTGTCTTAAATAGTTTAATGTTACCGGTACTGTCTTCCTAGGAAGCAGAGCGGAATGCCATGTTAATCGATTTTCCACTCTCCGCGCTCCTCTTCCGCGTCTAGTAAAACCCGGCTTTAGACTTAACTTAATGCCATATTTTATACCATGATATTTTAATGTGTAGTTAACTTATAACTTAGGGCTAGGGACTTAAAGCTAAGTTACTTCAGTAGCCTACTCGATAAGTAAGTTATTTAAGCAGCTGCTTTGTTAGTGACACTGTCAGATAAAATGCAGTAACCTACGTTTAATCGCAGTAAGAGTCTGGTCAGCTTTCAGGCGATTAGTTTCTGATATAAAGTAGGTAGGCTACAAAATTTCTTCTCCATAAACTAAAATTGGCATTAAGTTTGGTTAACTTACTTTGATTTAGTCCACTTAACTTAAGGCCTATTTTGCTTGGAGCGACTGTAGCGATAGTCGCACAGCGATTATCGCTCAGTTACTATCGCTGTTACGGCGACCGTTTTGCTTAGAGCGATTGATTTACGGTCGTCGTACGATTTTTCATCAGCACTCACAATGGTGAGGTCATGAGTGCGTGTTGTAACTTTTTAAACTATCTCCTCAGGGAGGAGTTAGAAGACGAGGCTCTACTTGACCCTAGGGGAAGTATCAATAGACGATCGATAGAAAATACATAGTGATAGGATAGGATAGGAGTGAGTGATAGGGTTTGGAACGGATACGTATCACTAGATGTCATTATTTAGGATATAAATAGAAAACTGTAGGCTAGTTTAAGCTACTTATTAAAATCAAAATTAAGAAAAATGCAAAGGAACCTAAACCTAAATAAATAAGTAGGCTAGGTTATTTATTTAGGTTTAAGTTTTTTTGCATATTTCTTAATCTTAATCCTTTAGCCTATAGCAAAATAGGCTAGTATAATATAATCTTACTAATATTATAAATGTGAAAGTTTGTGTGTTTGTTTGTTTGTTTGAAGTTCAATCACGCATTAAGTAACTACTGGTCGGATCGAGCTGAAATTCGATATGATGATAGCTTTCGTTCCCAATTAACATATAGACATATTCTTATCTCAAAGACCCATTCAGACTCCGCCCCAGTGGCTTTGGAGATTTCCATGTTAAGCTTATCAGTATTCAAATTTAAAATGAATAAAATAATTTTACCAGCGGTTTCAACTACACGAGTTGGTTCTATGATATTCAATAGCACTAAAAAGTTATAGTGTTTACTAATAGGGTGCAGAACTATAATTTTTTTCATATATGACAACAGCTTATTTGACCCAAGCAGCAACAAAAAGCTATGATACACAATGGGAACTGACAAAAAATAGGACTGTTTACAGTTATGCTTAAGTTTTTTATTTATAAATAATTTGTGATTGTGCGAATATTTGGTAACTTATTCGTCTCTATTTTTTAGGTGAAGTGGTAGCACATTATTATGGCTATAGTAGATGTGTAAATTACCGTAAGTTAAAAGAGCCAAATTTACTCAAACTGTGTTCTCCCCCATTGCAAACACAAAGCACTAGTATAACTGCAATAAGCATTTTATACTTATACGCCAACCCCGTACGAAGGACGGGTACCCTGCTAGTATGTCAATACATATAAAAATAAATTTGATTAAAATGTTTTTCGTGGACCCCACAAAAAAATGCTTGCGGACCACACCTTGAGAAACTCTGACCTAAGTTAAACTTAATAATTTACATCGAATGAAACATTTTAATCTGAGTCAAACATTTAAAGTTATAACTTTACTTCAGTATTTTATGGGAAAATAACATAATCCTAACTTAACTTAAGTTAATATTTTAAGGTTACCTAATTATCGAATAAAAGTTGCATCTGATGATATAAAATAGGCCTTTTGTAGGTTTATTGCAGAACTGTACCTGGGTGTTTCAACATAAATAATATAAATATTTTATAACTAAAATAACTTAGGTCTAGGCTTAAGTTTCACAGGTTATGTAATAAAGATCTTCTAAATAAAGTTATACACATCGGCCTACAGCTGGATTATTTTTAACCAGAAGCGGTTAAGATAGGCACTGTAGGGGTGGCACAATTTTTATTTCACCTGCGGAATTTTAATACGGACAAAATGAGAGTAAAAAAATAAAAAATGTATAATTTGTGTAATATAAAAATTAAACTGTCATAACCTAACCTTACTAACCAAACTTGCTGATAATCGCTACCGATAATCGCTATTACTAATCGCTACTGAATAATTTACTACCTTTAGTCCATCAGTGACGTTGAATATTAGGATCGGTCTATTTTGATCGCCCTACCGGCGCATGTACCGATCAGTAGCGAACTTGTTAAACAATTGATTTATTAAAATATTAAGGATACCTAATATGATAGTAAAATCTCGAACTTCAGAAATTAAACTTCACCCCATGTTTGAAATGGGAAGACAAACTTTAGGTCTTAGGGGTTAAATGTAGGCTACTATTCTGTATTAAGTTCATTTTAAGTATTTTTTTTTAGCTGCTGCACAGAAAATGTTGGGCATAAGTGAAGTCACGGAAGCCAAAGTTACAAGCGTTGTTGCTAAGTGGCTTCAACAAGCCAAAACCAGATGTGAAAGAAGGTAAGGATAAAAAATTGTCACTAACTAACTATTCAACTCATCATTAATAGAATTCCATTGGTAGCCTAATAATACTGTACAGTGGACTCAATTATACAGGGAAGGAGACACTTGAAACTGACGTGCCCTCATACTTGTTACATGATTAAAGTCTAATGCAAAATATATTTAAGCCAATAATGTTAATTCTGTAAAAATAGCCAAACTATAGACACTTTGGGATAATTACTGTAAACAAAACACAAGATGCCAAGACTTTATACCTTTTAAATATTTTAATCTTTAGACATGTGATGAATGGTCTCAAATCTATCCTACAAGACAAGTTGTTTCAGCACCGCTCACTTCCTGCCGATCCAGGGTGGTTAAACCGTACTGATAAAAATTGTCTGGTTTAAGAATTATATCTGCTGAGTGCAGTCTGGTTACTAGGTGTTCGGGTAAAAAGGAGTCTACTGCATAATGGTTTTTCATAAAAATGTTTTTTATTGTTTATCATTATGATTACTCAAGTACTGTATAAGCTAAAAAATACCCCCGCCTCAGCAAACCTGCCGACTAAGTGAATTTCCATTTGCCTGAATTGATTTTCAATTAAATGTATTTAATTAACATTAGCTTTAATGAGTACATAGGCTTGCTGCTACAAGGAGGGTAAAAAAGTGTGTTTTTTAGTAAAATAATAATTACTTAGTATCAAATAAATAAATTTACCAAGTTTGGTCAAAAACAAGCAAACTACATACGATATTCTCCATAAGAATAACATGGGAATTTTAAAATATATATTTGTTTTTTCTCCGTAACCAATAATTGTACAAAAACACTTTGTTATACTAAATCATTTGTTTTTTAAGCTCTTTAAAAAGGTTTGGAAAGAAATTGGGAAATTTTTATGATTAAAGGGTCAAAAATTAGAAAAACCCATTTTTACCCCATAAAACCCCGTTCCCATGGTCCGATCATGCTGGTTCGCAAACTTATTCAAGTTTATCCCGCCTTACACCTTCAAACCAAATTTCATCAAAATCGGACAAAAATTAACTTAGCCTACACAAGTTATCGTGTTCACGGACATATAATCTATATATACATATATAAAAATTTGAACTAATGGTGTTATTGGGCTCTGGGGACATCAAAATGAAAAAGTTAATCGGTTCCGGGCCTAGGTCTTACCATGCCACATACGGTAATAGATTTTTTCCTATAGGGAAATTCGCCAAAAGAAAAATGCTAGTATTTTTATTCTTGTAGAGGGGTTTTCATGTTTCATAGCAATGCTGGGCTTACCTGGATTAATTTATACAGTAAATTAAAGCTTATAATTATTTGTAAAGTATGAGCAAGATTTGTAACAAATATCTTGGCTATATTTAGGATAACCAACCAGAACTATCACTAGGGTGGTCTGCCGTTACACTTTAGACGCATAAATGAGCGAAGCATTATTTGAAGATTAATGGCTAAAGCAGCTAACAACCTACAATATGTTCCCTTTCAACAGATTCACCGTTTGTTTGCCCGATATTATTTAGGTTCTAAAGAATGACAAATTTATCTGATAGTTCATTTATTTAGTTAAAAATAAGAATTGATAAAAGCCTGACCATTTGCTTGTACTTTGTAAATGCGCATAGCGGGATGTACTCGTGCAATCAACATTTGTTCTACAATCGTCAGGTCAGTTCATTCGTTCGGGACACTTGACACATCCATATTATTTAACGCCGTGAATTTAGTTGCATTTGAACGACAACGCGAACAAATCGGTGATTGGTTTGAACACCAAAAAATTGCTTGAATCTGTTAGTTGTTGGCGATGACAGTTAGTGCAAATGTAAAATTTTAGTGCATCTAATTCATGTTGGAATTGATTAGCTACCTAACTGCCTATCATTATCAGCTTCTTCCGCCACTGCTTCATCTGGTTCTTCTTGTTCACGACGCCACTCTCTTACAATATTTGCGTTATTGGTGCGTCGACCAATATTACGACGTGGCCTTTGAGGCATGCTCAAAACAAATATAGCAAAACTGTTACTTCCATTGATAAACTGTTACATTCCAACTTTAACCTAGGATGAAAGTAAACATTGAAATGTAAACAAAACAGCTACAAACAATTAACATATGTTTATCTTAATTAAATGAAACGAGATAAACCCATATGTCATAGACCCAATATAATTTTTCTTTCAACTTATAATAAAATAACAAGCGAAACTGCGTGGCACGTAAAATAAAATCCAGAAGGAAATTTGCAAATATTTTTTACGTAAACATTGTGCTCAGTATTCTTTAGCTGTTGGCAAAATTTCATATCAATTGGTCAAGCCATTACATTCTGATGCTCATACAAAGAAGTAACAAAGTGAGCTTCGCTCAACTAGTTTTATACTTAAACCGTAAAATACAAAATCCCGCAGATTCGCCTAATTATTTCATCGAAGTGATAATGCCGCAACGCCTAGGTTTTGCCTGAAGTAATGTGAAAACAATCCTGGGCTTGTGTTTAGCATTTTTTGACAATCAAAATGTAATTGTGTTTTATACATATTAATAATTATTACTAATATTATTGGGAAGATCATATATTGTATTTGTATATCATTGTAGGAATAAATTAATTTTCACTAAACAGGCCTACACTGGTTGTGAGTTAAACTGCGTTAGTTTAAAATGTTGCTTACTTGCCTATTAGCGAATTTCCCTATAGGGAAGTAGCTATTACCGTAGGTGGCACGGTAAGACCTAGACCCGGGACCGATTTACATTTTCATTTTGATGTCCCCAGAGGCCAAAAACACCATTCGTTCATATTTTTATATATGTACGTTGTTTTTGTGTATGTGTTTTGTATATGTATGTGTGTGTTGTGTATGTATGTGTTTGTGTATGTTTGTGTGTTTTTTATGTATGTTTGTATGTATATGTGTGTTGTGTATGTGTGTGTGTATGTGTTTTTGTGTATGTCGTGTATGTATGTATGTGTGTATGTGTGTTTTTATATATGTGTGTATGTTTGTATGTGTATGTGTGTGTGTGTGTGTATGTATGTGTGTGTATGTGATGTGTATTTTTATATGTGTGTGTGTGTGTGTATGTTGTATGTGTTTTATATATATATATATAGACTTATATATATATACGTCCGTGAACGCGATAACTTGAGTAATTTTTGTCCGATTTTGATGAAATTTTGCTTAAAGGTGTAAAGCGGGATAAACTTGAATGAGTTCGCGAACCAGCACGATCGGATGATGGGAACGGGGCTTTATGGGGGGTTTTATGGGGTAAAAATTGGTTTTTCTCACTTTTGACCCTCAAAACACAAAATTTCCCGATTTATCTTTAGACCTTTTTAAAGAGCTTAAAAAAACAAATAATTTAGTATATAAAAGTATTTTTGTTCGATTATTCGTAACGGAAAAAAAAAATTGTAAATTTAAAATTCCCATGTTATTTTTATGGAGAATATTGTCAAATGTTGTAGTTTGCTTGTTTATGGATATATTTTGATCAAACTTGGCAAATTTATTTATTTTCTACTAAGCTATCAATATTTTACTCAAAAACACACTTTATTAGTTTCCTTGTAGCAGCAAACCTAGGTACTCGTTAAACCTAATGTTATTAAAATATATTTAACTGAAAATCAATTCAGACAAATGGAAATTCGCTTAGTCGGCAGGTTTGCTGCGGCGGGGGTATTTTTTTATACCAGATACAAAATTAATCATTTTGGTTGATTATCCTTAAATTTAATATTGATTCTATTTGTTTTGACTTTTTTCAGAGGGAAAAAACCTGCCACTGTGGACAGTGGGGAAGAAGTTCCACTCAATGTGGATGAAGATCTTGTTGAATAGATAACTTACTCTGTATTATTTAAGTAATCGTAAAATGAGGAATTTTTGAGGGAACTGTTTGTTGAAAGTTAAAGATACGAGGCATTTTCAAATGTGAATGTGTTATGTAAATCTTCAATATAAATCTATTTAGACAAATTATCTCTTGTGTTTTATTTTTAATTTCAAAGAATTCTGAATTCTACGTACTGAATAGTAATAATATGTAAAATTGTAGGGTTGAAAACTATAATAACTCATGTTTTCCTGCTCTTTTATAAAAACAAGTTTTTATATGGTATCTCGCTTTTTTATTTAGAGAAGTGTCTTAGCATGTAACAACTAGAGGCATTGAAGTTATTAGATTATGTTGTGATTGTGAAAAATTATCTGAAATATTGGAAGATTATATTGTGCTATGCATCTCAACCTAAAAAATATGAAATTTTTATTACATGTAAGACTGTGTGAATCCTGGTAAAAGCATATGAATTAAATTTAAATTTTCAGAAATAAAAAAAAGAGCTTGTAAGTGGCTAAAAAAGAATTATTTCTTGTATTTTTCAATTAATATTCAAATAAGATGTTTCAATTTTTATTCAAATGAGATATTTCAAGTTTTATTAAAATTGGATCTTTCAAGTTTTATTCAAACTGGAAGAGCGGGAACTTCGACGCATGATTTTAACTTGAATCAAGTTTACACATCCGATCCTTCAAGTTTGCAGATTTGACAAACCAAACTTATTTCAAGCTTGAATCAAGTATTTTTTCAATTTATATTTAGATTAGATAGTTCAAGTGTTATTCAAATTAGATGTTTCAATTTTTATTTAAATTAGAAATTTCAAGTTTTATTCAAATTAGATGTTTCAAGTTTTATTCAAACTGGAAGAGCGGGAACTTCGACGCATGATATTAACTTGAATCAAGTTTACGGACCCATCCGAGCAAACGTGATTCAAGTTTGCAGATTTGACAAATCAAACTTGTTTCAAGCTTTAATCAAGTATTTTTTGCTATCTGGGATATAGTGTGATACCAAACAATGCAATATGGTGACTATTTTGTTAAAAATGTCAACTCGATACTGGTCTACAAATTATATTCAAAGCCATAGTGTAAACAGCATATTAGCAAAGGGACCTTATGAAATAAACATACCCCCTGAGGATAATTAAGGCAGTAATCAGTATGTAAAGTAATCAAACAAAAGAAAAAGTTATTTCCTGGTCAAGGTCAAACAATAATGAACTATTTCTTGGTCTGGGGTTCAAGATTCAGAACTGATACAGTAATGCACGTCCTAATCAATATTTTCTTATTTTTTAGATGAGAAATGGAAAGCATAAGCAACCAAGATGAATTTGACCTCTCCAATTTTTTTACCGACTCACTCTGCCTTGATAGTAATATTTCACCAATGGCTAAGTTCCAATACCAGCCAATTAAAAATGACAATATTGAAAAGATGTTAAAGAAAGATTTGAGAGATGCCTTGGGATATAACAATATCGGCAAGCCTAGGCAAATTTCAGAGAGTGCAAAAGGCACAACAGTACAGGAGTTTTATAGAGGGCTAAATATTATGATTACTGGAGGTTCTGGATTTCTGGGAAAAATATTGATAGAGAAGATGATAAGATCCATCCCCCATGTGGGAAAAGTTTATGTATTGGTGAGGGCCAAGAAAGGATCTTCTGCCAAGGACAGATTTGAAAAACTGCTTGAAGATGAGGTATGTTAAAATCTGTAAAGCAAATTGATAGATTTAGGAAGATTTCATAATTTTTGACAATTTATGTCATTGTGTGTAAAGTGAGGTTACTTCCTTAGCGAGACTTAATTTTATGATTCATAAGTTGGAAGTATTTATTATATGAAAATAAAGTTAAGACTGCAAATTAAAGTTAAACATCCTAATTCCTGTGACGTTACATTAATCGGTTTAAGGAAACTATACCGATGTCTTCAATAAAATAGTACGGTACATGTTTTAACACGTTCGCGGCGGCATGGGAGCGATCGCTCCCATACGGAACCCTAATGCCATCCTGGTGGGTGCGATTGCTCCCAAGCTGCAATGCAGTACAAAATGATTTATTTTTAAGCCAGGATTAGAGCTAGAAACTTGAAACCTCGCACAGCACTGCTCAATAGTATACTGTATTTTGTTGTGGTGTTGGTTGGTAGTAAATCTTCCCGTAAATCCCCGTCTGGCAATCTCAAAATTCTACTTTTGTCCCGTCTTTTTCCCTCCTTGGCAATACAATTCCAATGGGACCGGCTACGTTACAAGCAGTGCTGCTATCTGTTGGTGTTTAGCGAACTACGTCGACTCTCGTTGTAAAGCAGGACATCCTCGCACGTTATTTGCTATTTGTCAGCCCGAAATTGGAAAGCCAATCACACGCGGCAATCGGGTTTGTTCGATGCTGAGGGCTGCGCCGGACCTGGGATACGCCCGCCATTTGACGTGCCGCCGCGAACGTGTTAATGTTTATTTGCCAATAAATAATTTACCCACAAAATCCCCTGAAAGTATACTACTATATAAAAACTGTTGCTAACGCTACAAGGTAAAAAGAAATATAGATTATTAAATAGAGTCAATTTGCTTCTGAGTTTTTACAATAATATCAAAGCACCTTATCAAACCTTAATCAATGAATGCTATTTTGTATACCAAAATGATGATTTTGTATGTCTATGATTTTATGTATGTTTTCACTTGTACAATTAGAATTACATAGGTGAATTTCATAATAAGGTGACCACTATTGATTTAAGACAAACCTTTGGTCCTACTGTGATGAAAAAAGCTTATTTTCCCACTAAACCGACCCCAAAAATAACAATTAACCATTTTAAATGTCTTTAATTTAGGATGTACCAAAACCAGAGGTTCACTCACAATTGTCAAATACGTATTCAAAACAATGTTGAGGCATTATACGTCTCCCTCTGAATTAAAGGAAATAAGTCAAGTATTCAAAAGATATTCTTTAGGAATAGTTTAGTGGGAAAGTTTTTATTTCATCATTATTGTGGCACCAACGGTTTGTCTGAAATTATTACCTTAAAGGATCACCATGTATATTACATACCTGCAACCAATCAGAAGTAAAGTCTATAACGTTAATTTCCTTTTTCTAATGAGAATAATCCCTGCAGGTGTTTCTACGGATGAAGACCGAAGTGCCAGATTACCACAAAAAGCTGACATTTGTAGAAGGAGATATTTCTGAGCCTGAGCTCGGGCTGAGTGAGGCAGACCGATGCATGCTGCAGGATCAGATTCATGTCGTGTTTCACAGTGCAGCTGACGTAAGGTTCGTCAACTCTCTCAGAGCAGCGGTCAACACCAATCTAGTCGGCGCAAAGCGAATGGTTCATCTGGCCAAAGGGATGAAGAATCTCAAAGTAGGTTTCGCTAAACTCTGTTACGTCAGGGTTTGTTAGAGCATAAAATTACCAATTGAGGTGTGTATTTTAGTCAGCACCTTTGATCAGGCATCAAAGCTACATTTACTGTTTGTACTGTGTCGCACTAGCTTTGTGAGAATTTTTTTTAAATGACAATATATAGGTACACATTTGGCAGGCTTAGCCATTAGGACAATAGTCTACCAGTATAATAACATGTTTGGAAGAGGAAGGGTAGAGGAAGAAAATATGAAAGTTGATCGATATTTACAACTTACTGTTTACAGGTTTTTATTGTAAATAATCTAGTTAAATTTGAAAAACCTCCTCTCTAAGACTGGCAAGTCCATATATAATGTAAACTATAACAAAACACAAGATAAAGCCACCTCAATCAAACTGAAAAGCTTTTTCCTAAATACTTTACATTTTAATTAAACTTTGAAAACCTTGATGTAATTAGATTACTCAGATAAACTCTAAGATCAATAACAACAAAATACACATAACAAAGAAAAATTCATTTATTACTTTTTCTATACTAGCTACTTGGGATGTATAAAAAAATAAAATGAAAGCTCAATAGAGCAATGTAGCTAGTATTTTAAAATTTAATATTTTATTATGTAATATGCAAATTATCACATTAAAGTCCATTTATATAGCTTTTTTTATTACTTTTTCTATCAACTAGGAGGAAGTTTATGAATTTTTAGCGAATTTCCCTATAGGGAATTAAGTAGTTATTACCGTAGGTCTCATGGTAAGACCTAGGCCGGGGACCGATTTACTTTTTCATTTTGATGTCCCCAGAGGCTAAAAACACCATTCATTCAAATTTTTATATATCTATATATAGGCCTACAGGGTGATCAACTCAAGGAGGCCACCATTGGGATATCGGAAACGGTAAGAATTAGAGAAAACTTTAAACGGGGGACATTCCTTTATTTTTTGTGGCAGTTAAAAATATGATTTTATTTTTTTGAAATTCAGCCGCCATTTTCCAAAATGGTGGTCAACTTTGAAATTTTTTATAGAACACCCTATATTTTATCATGTTTTCGGATAGAACAGGCAATTTAAAAACTTTTTTATTCTTGACATTTTTTCGATAAACCCACTCGTTTAGGAGTTACAGCTTATGGAAAAATGACTTCCGGTGTACATTTTACATCATGTAGCTCCTAAACAAGTAGGTTTATAGCGAAAATGCGAAAAGTAAATGAGTTAAATAAGTCTTAAAATTGCATCATTCCAAAAAGACCAAAAAATTCGTTAAAAACTATTAATTCTATTATTTCAAAATGGCGGCCATTTTCCAAAATGGCGGCAAACTTGAAAAGTGGAAAACTGTGTATTTTTTGGTCTTTTTGGAATGTGGATGCAATTTTAAGACTCATTTGACTCATTTACTTTTCGCATTTTCGCTATAAACCTACTTGTTTAGGAGCTACATGATGTAAAATATACACCGGAAGTCATTTTTCCATATGCTGTAACTCCTTAACGAGTGGGTTTATCGAAAAAATGTCAAGAATAAAAAAGTTTTTAAATTGCCTGTTCTATCCGAAAACATGTAGGGTGTTCCATAAGAAATTTCAAAGTTGGCCGCCATTTTGGAAAATGGCGGCTGAATTTTGAAAAAATTAAATCATATTTTTAACTGCCACAAAAAATAAAGGAATGTCCCCCATTTAAAGTTTTCTCTAATTCTTACCGTTTCCGATATCCCAATGGTGGCCTCCTTGAGTTGATCACTCTGTATATATGTTCATCCGCACGATAACTTGAGTAATTTTTATCCGATTTTGATAAAATTTGGTTTGAAGGTGTAAGGCGAGATAAACTTGAATGAGTTCGCGAACCAGCATGGACTATGGGAACGGGGTTTATGGGGGGTTTTATGGGGTAAAAATAGGGTTTTCCCATTTTTGACCCTAAAAACATAAAATTTCACTATTTCTTTCTAAACCATTTTGTTGAACTTAAAAAAACAAATAATTTAGTATTTTGAAGCGTTATTATGCGCCTAATTGTTACGGATAAAATTAAAAAAAATTGTAATTTTAAAATTCCTATGGTATTCTTATGTAGAATAAGTCAACTGTTGTAGTTTGCTTGTTTATGAACATATTTTGATAAAATTTGGAAAATACATTAATTTGTTACTAAACTACAGTTAAAAAAACCTGTACCTTTTAACATATTACATTTTAAAAAACTTTTTACCCTCCCTGTTGCAGCAAACCTAAGTACGGTACTCGTTAAACTAATCCTGTTTAAATAGGAAACAAATGTGATATTTTTAAGGAGACATTTTAGTGTAAATACAATCAGGCAAATGGAAATTCGCTAAGTCTGCAGGTTTGCTGTAGCGGGGGTATTTAGTATTACAACAATTGGTATTTAATTTAACAATGGGTTTTTTCACAATTTTTCAGTCATATGTTCACGTTTCGACAGCTTACAGCAACTGTGTAAGGAGAGTGATTGAAGAAAAAACATATAAACTAAGTGTTGGTTACAAGGATATAATGACGCTTTTGGAGGAATTATCTGATGAAGAAATTAGCACTGATGAAAACAGGTATATCCTATGAATTATTTTTTATTAAAGTTAAAAATTTTTAATAATTACAGTACATATACGTAAAACCTTAAGTTATGAAACATCTTGAAGGCATGAGGAATCTAAGAATGTGTAAAAGAATATGAAACACATTTACAACAATGCTATTTACAAGAATGTATTTTTTTTTTTAGAATCATATAAAAAAATAAATAAAATCCAACCAAATGAATCAATACCAGAGTACCAGTACAAAGAGACAAAATGATTTTAGATAGCTAAGGAATAGTTATTTGTGCAACTAGAGTGAGCAAAGGGAGCAATTGACTCACTCGAGAGAAATACTTACTCACGAGCCGTAGGCGAGTGAGGAATGGTTTCTCGAGTGAGGCAATTGCACTTTGCACTCGAGCTGCACATTATATTCTTCCTACAGTTACCATAAAACGAATAAATTGGTAAAGAAACGTGACATATTTTTACACAGAAATGAACTTTTAATAATGACATTTAATGATATAATAGTACAACAGCTGACCAGCTGATTTACAGCCAGTGCTGCCAACGTATTTCGCGTGCATACTACCTTGTCTGCATCTAACGCGCTCACTATTTCGTGCCTTCACGTTGCAAATCTGGAGTGAGTGAGACAAAGTAATTAGAGTGAGACAATATTAACATTGTCTCACTGATGAGCGAATTGACCACTTTGCTTTCTCAAATCAGTGAGAGAACATGTACATTGTTAGGTCCCTGTAGGAAAATATACTTCTAGTCTTAAATTATTTCATAAGCAATTTTATTGTGATTCCAGGATACTCCAGGGTTGGCCAAACACTTACACATTCAGTAAGGCTCTTTGTGAAGATATGCTTTATGAGGAATCTTCTGGTCTTCCCTTGTGTATATTCCGGCCTTCTGTAGGTAATTTAACACATTCTCTCACCTACCTAAACATCCTAAACACCTGTACGGGTACCTAAATTAATTAAGTTACCTAATTACCTTCTGAAGAATATTATATGTCTCAAGAGTAATATGGAAATGTTTAAAGCTCAAAGGCACAGAACCTTGTCTGTATTAAAAAACATAGCTTTATATCAAACCAGGTGACCGAACCATAAAAATTAATTAATTATATTGTGTCAAAAAGCATTAAATATAGACCGACAGTAGTGCTACGGTTAGCATATGTTCTGGCGTCCACCACCAAGAGTGCCTTGTAGTTACGGTGCACACCACTGCAGCATCAAGCACTAGCCACCGTTGCCATGACAACTTGGTAGTTGGGACCAGTGTTGCCAACCTCGGAGAAATTCCCCGGACTCCTGTGGTTTGGAGTTTGGTTGGATACTGGAGTGCGGCAAAAAAATGAGTTTGGCAAAAGTAAAATGAGTGCAGCAAAAGGAAGGTAAGTAAATGCAGCAATTAGCTACTTTGTGTACTATAATCAGTGCAAGGAAGACCGCTTTGTCAGATAACTGTAGCAAAAATAATTAGTTGTTTAAACACTATAGAACACATTTTTAGATTAGGTTAAAAATCCAACTGTTGAACGAAATGAAAAATGCTGCACCAGCTGATCGTAGTTGTAGTATCTTTAGGTTTTGCCAACTTATTTTCAAGCCTACACAAAAGGTACCTAATAAAAGCACACCGTTTTGTGTTATTTGGTTGGAATATTGGAGTGTGGCAAAAAAAAGACTGTGGCAGAAGTAAGTAAATGCACCAATTAGCTACTTTGCGTGCTATAATCAGTGCAAGGAAGCCCACTTTGTCAGGTAACAGCAGGAAAAAAATAATTAGTTAATTTATTGCAAGTGTGTGGGAATATGTGTCATAAGTGAAATTGGAATGGAGCACTGTGAATAATGACGGCACACAGCTTCTGTTTAATATATCGCAAGTATAGATGTGTATATCGTAAGTATCATAGTGTGGTTCACTTTCTAACTTCACATAACCATCGACCATATTTGCTGGCAAAGATCACAGCACAGTTAGAAGCTGATTGTTTCTAATCATCAGACGATACGCTTAATAATACATTGAGCTGGACATTCTTGTTTGCTTCAGAATCTGATTTGGTACAGAATCCGTATTTATACAATATCCATCTTGTCCTTCCAGAACATGAGTATATATTAGAGAGAGTCATATGAACATTGTGTATCAGCAATGAGGTCAAAATTATTGAAATGAAATGAAATGAAATGAAATATTATTTATTTATCCAGGCAAAAGTTAGGGCCACATGGCCCTTTCTTACACTTAACCTGTCATAAATATAACACACATATTTTACCAATTACATTAATATACAACAAAAACAAAATCTAAATCATGGATACAGAAACTTAAACAAAAGAAAATAACTTACATTTTAAACTGTACAAAAATAATCTTCCTCTTTCCCTCTCTCTCTCTCTCACACACACACACACACACACACACCAAGCACATCTGTCAGTGACCAACCACGCGTACAAGCCCCTAGGACAAACCAACCATGGCCATACGTTCAAAATACATATTTTTTAGCGCTGCCACAAACCGGAAACGGTTATCAAGGGATTTGATGGCTAAGGGGAGGTCATTCCAAAGTCGGCAAGCGGTCACAACAAACGCCCCGTCGTAAACTGCAGTCCTATGATGAGGCATACGCAAAGTCAATGAAGCATAGCGTGAAAATCTAACACTTTCTTCAGCTACAAACCTAAAATCATCTACAAAATATTTTGGAAAATTTGATTTTATTATTGAATAGGTTAGCAAAAGGATTTTAATTGATCTAAGGTCACATAGCTTTAATAGTTTAGAATTAATGTAGTAAGGCGTGATACGCTCACTGCGTCTCAGATCATAAATGAATCTCAAGCAGTAATTCTGAGCGCGTTGGAGAGCATCAGCGAGGTTTACAGTCATGTCATTGATCACAGAGTTGCAGTAAGTGAAGTGGGGGAAGACAAGTGATTTGACGAGATGTATTTTTATGTGCATTGGCAAAAAGTTTTGTAATTTTTTAAGTGTGTGGATTGATGCAAACACCTTTTTACGGATGTCTAAGACTGCATCGCCCCAAGTAAGTGTCGAGTTCATAGTAAGTCCTAGGTTTTTGACCTTGTCACAGTAAAGCAAAGCTGTTCCATTTATATTTATTGGATTTGTCGTGAGAAAGTCAATTGAGTTCCGTAACCGTGGATGACAAATTATGATAGGTTTAGTTTTTTCGTGATTGAGTCTGAGTCCGTGTTTATTAGTCCAAGTAATGATTTTCTCAATATCTTCATTCACTCTCTGAACACTTTCGTTGATCTGTTTGGGTGAAAAATGTGTATAAATCTGTGAGTTGCATAAGATATTGTTTTCAGTCAGAAAATCAGTTATTTGGCAGTGAACGATTCTTTCAAGGCCTTTAGATAATGCGGGCAATATACTGATCGGCCTGAAGTCCTGGCAAGAAGCCGGGGCTGGGATCTTATTCAAGGGTCGAATTAGGGCAGACTTCCAAGAAATAGGGAATGTGCTTTGCCTTAAGGATGTGTTGAAAATATATGTGATAGTTGGGAGAATAGCAAAGAGAATGTCTTTAATAAAGCGAATTGGAATGCCGTCCGATCCGACAGCATTACTCCGAATACGTCGAATAGATTTCAGAACATCAGACTGCAGTACAGGTCTGAAAGTGAACTTAGGATATCCCAATTCTTGAGCAGGGGAGTTTCTTAACTCAGTTACGTGACTTTCAACTTGTTGTTGATTGATGCTTTGGCCAAAGGAAGAGAAGAATGCATTTAATTCATTGAGAGGAATGTTGACTCTTTGTGCATCAGGTTGTTTCCCAAGCCCAAGACTTTTTACGTTACGCCATAAAACTCTAGATGGTTGGTTCTTATTTTCAAAAAGCATATGAATGTGTCTTAATTTTGAATTTCGCAAAAGTTGTTTGACTCTATTTCGTAAATACCGGTACTCTTCCATTTCTACTTGATTCTGGGAACGCCTTGCTCTCCTAAAAAGACAGTCACGTCTTGCCATCAAGCTACGTATTTCAGGGGTTATCCATGGCACTGGTCGTTTTTTAGTCAAACGTTTTGAAACAATTGGAGCATGTTTATCAAATAAATGTAAAATTGTATTGTTCAGTTCATTTACCATTTCATCAAGACATGGTAAATTTTCAATTAGATGCCATGGTGTGTTCTGGATATCTGTCATGAACTCAACTTCATTCATATTCTTAAAATCCCTATATTTTATAAATTTAGTCTTGGGTTTGGGTGCCTTAACTGAATACACACAAAATATGAGGTCATGCTTGGATACTGCTGGAACTGGAAGCTGCCCATGATGTACAATGTCTTCAGCATCTGATACTACTATTAAGTCTAAGAGAGTGTCAGACTCGGCAGTATGATGTGTAGGGTCCAGTGGGAGTATGTTTAAGTTACATGAGTCGAACAATGTAGTCAGTTGTCTGTATTCATAGTTTTGATTGGTTGAAAGTAGGTCAGTATTGAAGTCACCCATGATCAAGACATGACTAAATCTAAATAATGAATTTAACAGAGCGTTTTCAAATTCCAGTAGATTGCCCACTCTAGGTGGGCGGTAACACACACTTGAATGAATTACACACAATTATTCATTACTTTCTTCCAAATTTTTATTTCTCGTGTATATATACTCGTCACTAACCGATATTCCAGCAGCTTCGTCAACAACAGATGAGCGGCTCAGTCAAATGTGTTCTGTTTTAATAAAAAATAGGATACGGCTGATCCATATGGGTGGGATGTCAACTTTCAGTACCATATCCAAAAGTCAATGATATAACTCTGACAACCGTTCCAGTTGGACCGACGTTTGAGGAACCCCTTAGAGCGTGGACTGACAACATCTACGGCCCGACAGGAATGTTGATGGCTATCGGAATGGGAGTCCTTCACATCAAGAGGTTTGACCTCAGCCTCCCATTGGACGCAGTGCCTGTAGACCTCACAGTCAACGCAATGATTGCTGTTGCCTGGGAAAATGCTACTGACAGGTCAGTTAGCCGAATCAATGAATGTTAGGCTTAATCTAATCAATACCTAATATCAATCCTTTATTCTTGCATGTCAAAGGAAAATTGAGAGCTATATATACTAGGTGGCGTTCGCAGAGGCATCCACAAAATTGAGCGGAGTCATCAAGGGCTCATATTATATTATATTATATTATATATTAGCTGTGGGGTAATAGCTCAGGAGCTCACCGGGTCTTTACATGGCAAAAGAAGGCTCTCAGAATTATGTTTGAAATTCCAGATAGGGTTAGTTAAATTGCAAAGCATTTTTTGCTGAAAATAGAATCATGACACTCTCTAATATTTTCATTTTTAACAATTTAGTTTCCGTTAAAGAGAATCTAAATAAATTTGTTCCTTGCAACTCAATCCATGGGTATATCACCAGACAAACAAAAGATTTATATATTCCTCTAGCCAGGCTAACAAAATTTATCAAAAGTTAGAAATATTTGCAAATAAAACTATTTAATAAACTTCCAATATATTTTAGAAATCAGGAAAGTATTCATCATTTGTATAGGTCAAAATTATCAGATTGGCTTACAAGTCGTGCTTTTTATTCAGTCGAGGAGTTTTTGCAGAATGTAGATTTTTCAACTATTAAATGTGAGGCCAAGCAGTCTTGATGATTCTTTGTTCTTGTTATGGTCTTTTCCCTTTTAATCTCAAAGTTTTTTATTATTACTGATGCTTTATCCTTTTAAGATTCTTTTAACTTTATTTTAACATTTTCTGTATCCTATTTAATATTTTATATAACATAAGTAACAAAACATGTTGACCTTGTCTATTGTAATGTTTATATTACCAAATGACAATAAAGATTTATTATTATTATTATTATTGTTTTTGTCCTACAGCAGTAAAAACAGTTGTTTTTAATGCATGCGTTGCGGGTCTAAAGTAGCATTTTTAATATTTAGGGAGTAAAAATCTTTTATAGCCTCTATGGAGTAAAAATCAGCTGTTGTCAATTCAGTAAATTTTGATTGCAAACGATTGCATGTATCAAAAATATGTATCGATTCGTGCTTCGTAATCATTTTAACATACAGTCTACAGTCTCTTCCCGTAGCATTTTAGCATTGCAGATACATTAATCCATTCCCACACTCAACACTGCTCACCTTTACTACTTCCTTCACCACCCCCTACGTCGTGGACCCGTTTCCCTCTCTTCCCATAGCATTTTAGGATTGCAGATACATTAATGTAATAGCCAAAGACAGTTCCCCATACACTCTGCACTGCTAGCCTTACTACTTCCATCACCACTTCCTACGTCGTGGGGCCTGTTTCCTTCCCTTCTCATAGCATTTTAGGATTGAAGATACATTAATATAACTGCCACAGACGGATCACACACTATGCTCATACTTTATTACTTCCTAAAGCCACTTCCTACGTCGTGGACCTGTGTTCATCACTTTCCATAGCATTTTAGTATTTTAGATACGTTAATCTAATTGCCCCAAACATTCCCACACTCCGTACTGCTAGCCTTTACTACTTCTTTCACCATTACCTATGTCGTGGGCATGCTTACATCCCTTCTTATAGCATTTCAGCATTGCAGATACACTAAAACTGCTACAAACGGTTACCTTTCTAATCGTCAAAAACGGATCCCACACTCCGAACAACTCGCCTTTACTACTTCCTTCACCACTTCCAACGTCGCAGGCCTGTTTTACTCCCTTCTCATAGCATTTTAGGATTGCAGATATACCTTAATCTAATCGTCATAAACAGTTCCCACACTCCGGACAGCTCGCCTTGACTACTTCCATCACCACTTACTACGTCACAGACCTGTTTCCCTCCCTTCCCATAGCATTTTAGGATTGCAGATACCTTAATCTAATGATCACAAACAGATCCCACACTCCAAACAGCTCGCCTTTACTACTTCCTTCACCACTTCCTACGTCGTGAGGCCTGTTTCCTTCCCTTCTCACAGCATTTTAGTATTGAAGATACATTATTCTAACTGCCACAAACTGATCTCACACTATGCTGATGCTCATACATTACTACTTCCTAAGCCACTTCCTACGCCGTGGACCTGTATTCATCACTTTCCATAGCATTTTAGTATTTTAGATACGTTAATCTAATTACCACAAACATTCCCACACTCCGCACTGCTAGCCTTTACTACTTCTTTCACCATTTCCTATGTCGTGGGCATGCTTCCATCCCTTCTAATAGCATTTCAGCATTGTAGATACATTAAAACTGCTACAAACGGTTTCCAGTTACCACACTCCACACTGCTCACCTTTACTACTTCTTTAACCATTTCCTACGTCGCGGATCTGTATCCCTCTCTTCCCATAGCATTTTAAGATTGTAGATACCTAAATCTAATCGTCATAAACAGATCCCACACTCCAAACAACTCGCCTTTACTACTTCCTTCACCACTTCCTACATCGCGGACCTGTTTCCCTCCCTTTCCGTAGCATTTTAGGATTGCAGATACCTTGACGGACCTCAACCTAGTGTCGTCATTTGATTATATTTATGATCCATACTGTTTCTGTTCTAATATCTGTGGAATAATGCTATCCGCTATTTCTATATCTACTGCATTCAAAAGTCATCAGCTGATCATATGTCTTTTGTTTATGTGTCAAATACTGCTTCCATAAGGATTACATTGAAACTTTGAGAGACCCAGTGGGGCGGATTCCTGAGAGATTTTTTTAACGCCATATAGATGTTGGCACTCACCGATATGGTCTTTATCACCATGCAAAATTTGAAAACGATTGATTCAGCCGTCTAGGAGGAGTTTGCGTATTAAGAAATGCATAAGAGTCAACGTATAAGAGCTTCGCTCGCTCCGCTCAATTAAATTGTTGGTTTATAGCAAAAATTTTAATATTTTAGGAATATGGTAAGGAGCAGTTTAAACCTTGGTCTTGTTACAATCCAATATTAATCTGATGATAGATTAAATTAAACTAGTGTACCTGTTGCTCGAATTCGAGCAATTGCAAAGTATTTAATTATTCACCCCTTCACCTGCGTATAACATCGCCAAGAAACTTGAAAGAATAATCAGGAACGAAATTGTCATCACAAATAACCATAGCCTAAAAAATAGTATTGAATTAGTACGCCAAATTGAGAACATCCACATAAGTAATAGCTACAAATTAGCATCATTAGATATAGTAAACTTGTACACGAACATTCCAGTATCCGAAACGATTGATTTGCTTAATGAAAATCTGAGAACTAACTCCAAACTTTCAGAACAAGCTGTGAATGAACTTGTGAACCTAACCAGAACGGTCCTCAAACAAAACTATTTTCATTTCAATGGCGATTACTATATTCAGCATGAAGGTCTAGCAATGGGATCTCCCCTATCTGGAATTTTAGCAGAAATATTCCTAAACAGTTTTGAAAATGAACACATCCTTTCTGATAAAAATCGTTACAGTAAAAACATAATACTTTTTCACAGATATGTTGATGATATTTTGCTACTATTCAATGGTAACAACAGGCAACTCAACCTGATGAACAATTCATTGAATAAAATCCATACGAATGTCACTTTCACGCTTGAAACTGAATGTAACAATTCCATCAATTTCTTAGATCTAAAGATTGAAAAGTGTGAATCCAGGTTAAAGTTTGCCATTACAGAAAACCTACCGCCACCGACCAGACCATTCATTTTACTTCTCACCACCCTCACAACCAAAAAATGGCTGCCTACAATAGTTTCGTGCATAGGTTATTGTCTCTGCCTCTAAGCCCAACTGATTATCAACAAGAAGTCCTCATCATCAAACACATAGCTGTGGCTAATGGATACAAAAGCAGTATGGTGATAAATTAATCCATAAACATAAACACAAACCACTCACCAGTTCCCAACCACCTGATAAACCTCATAAATTGTACGCCTCTGCTAATTATGGCAATATCCTTAACAACACCATAAGGAAAGAACTAGCCAAAAATTACGTTTGTGTATCATTCAGGGCCAACAATAGACTTAACTCAATATTTAAAGAGCGCAAAAGGAACAGTCTTGATAAAGCCAATAAGACTGGAGTATATAAGATCAATTGTAATGATTGTCCTAAATATTATATAGGCCAGACTACTCGCTCATTTAAGCAACGATTTAAAGAGCACATTCCATCCAAAACAATAGCCCAGCAAAAATCCGCTTTCGCCAACCACCTCGCAGACAGTAACCATAATTATTCCAGCCTTGACAATAACCTACACATTTTACATAGTTACCCTAAAAAAGGACGGTTTTTAGATTGTTTAGAGGAATTCGAGATCTACAAATCCATCAAGAATGAGCCACAACACATCTTAAATGAACAGACTTCTTCAAGTCCAACATTATCTATGACGCAGCGATTAGAATAGGACAACAATACCACCGGCATTCCATAGATAACGGGAGAGGAGCAAGGACACCTCAGTCATGACCACGCAACTACCCGTGCCGCGTCGTAGTGTCCTGTACTGGCCAGTAGCTAGCAATGTTATTTCGTATTTTCGTGTTTCGTGTTGTATGTGTGTGTTTGTATGTTTACCGACGACTCAACTTGAGTGACATGACATTTTTATCAGCCTGATGATGGGATTTTAATCCTGAAACCGGTCGCATAGACAACAACAATAGGATCACTGACGGACATGTAATATAAACCATTTTTAAAGTATTTAAGGCGTTACGTTAAAACGAATAACATTCATAATTTCCGATTTCTTTAAAAGAGACGACTCAAAGTTATGGAAATACTCACGATGTACATACCAGTTTGATATAATCAACATTTCTTGTAAAATATCTTCATTTTTCAAAAGCTGATCTTGTTTTTTTAGTGTTTTTTACAAAATGTTTCCCACTCATAGCCGCATTAGGTTGTCCTTAACAACGATTATAAACTCTGAAAAAAACATTATTTCTATTTTTTCTCTTGGTGATGTTCTATGACTTTCCTATGTTTCCATAGTTTGCAAATCGGCTCTTTCAATGATTACTAAGAAATGCAGCCCAGAGTTAATTCAGTTTTATTTTTAGTATACCAAATTATCCAGGCTCTCTCGGTTTTTTCCATTGTTATATCAAAGATTACATATGCTACGCAAAATCTTTTGCGTAGCATATGTAATCTTTGGTTATATTTACGCCAACCCAAATTCAAATAGTAAATATTTCATTACAACCAAGTCAGTAAATGTTTTTAGCAAACTGTTCAATTAGCAAACTTATTGACTGTTTACAATTAACATATGTTCTTCTTTCAACTTTTAATTTCTGACAACAGCTGGAGTTTCATAACAATGTTTGTTCCCCATGTTAATCTAATGGAGAAATATGAATCTTTAAAGGATCCCAGGGCTTCACTCTTTAATTATTTTCCTAAAAAAAAGTTTCCTACACAACTTTACGTTACGCTCTTTCCAATGACACCAAAAACATGTCAATCGGTTCAGTAGTTTCGGAGGAGTAATTGTCACAAAAAACCTGCTTGCGTATTAAATAAGTACTAGTGTCCCTGTTGCTTGAATTCGAGCAATTGCCAACTATTACAGGCGTTATTTTAAAACGAATAACAGTCATTATTTCTGATGACTTTAAAAGATTTGAATCAAAGATTATGGAAATACTTAATATGTAGGCCTACATAACAGATTATATCAATTTATCCAGGCTCTCTCGCTTTTTATATTGTAGGGTGGGGCAGGCAAATATCCCTGATGACACTGTGAGTAGTGGGGGTGTACTGAACGAATGGGGTTAGGCTCAAATGACGCTGTTACTTAGGGATTTTCTAAGAATATCACTTTCAGTAGTAAACATGGCTTGTTCGAGTGAGCAATGTGCTTTTGCACTTGAGATGCATTCTTTCCAAAAATCTGTCTATTGTTGCTGTGCAGCTAGCGTGCGCTGTGAAATTGTTATCGAATGGCCTGCCGCAAATCTGTTACATTTTGGTGTGGGTGAAAGACTTCAGTGTATGTGGTGGTGTATTGGGAAGGATGTTTAGAGCTCAAAGAACCGTCTGAACTCCTGAAAACGTTTACCTTGTCAGAAGATCGATTTTGCATAGTCTCCTCAACATTCTGCTTGTAAGCGTGCATCCGCGCTGGCGTTGCCTAATCGTACTGTGCCTCTTATTCTCCATGAGAACTAACACCTCCATCTATACAAGCTTGTAGTTGCTCATGAACTCACACAATGTGACTGGCAACAACGAAAGGAAGCATTTGAAATCTTAATTGCTGGACTGCCTCGCGTTATTCGGGTTTTGTTTAGTGACGAGACACACTTACATATTTCTGGAGCGGCAAATAAGCAGAATATGCTCTATTGGAGTGATGCTAAGCCTATAGTAGTTGATGTGAAGACCCTAGATGCCTTTAAGGATGCAATTCACCTTGAGGTTGGCCATATCCCACAACAAATGCTTCACAGAGTTATGATGAACTCCAGAACCAGGAAACAGCAGAGTATTTACGAATAGGGACACCAATTGCAGGATATGCTGTTTAAAACCAAGTAAAGTTATGTTAAAATAAACTCCCAGATATAACCTTTTAATCCCAATATAAAGTTTGGTTATAATATATTTGGTTGTCTTTTAATGTATCTTCAAAATTAGGGATACTTCCCTGCCCCACCCTGTATTTACGCCAACCCAAATTCAAATAGTAAATATTTCAATTCAACCAAGTCAGTTTTTTTTTTTTTTTTTACAGCATTTATTTCTGGTTCAATGTAGACATTATACACAGAAGTGTTAACAAAATTAAAAAGAAATTAACTATAATAACAACTACTATCATCCTCCGATGAGAATAATGCGTCTGATTAGAGAAAAACATAAAGTTAGACGACTTTGGCAGCGATACCGTCTTCCACACTTTAAAAGGCAACTCAACGAACTGGGAAGACGAGTGAAAACAGAACTCGAGGAATTTAGAATAGACAACTATAAGAAGTATGTTTCTGATATTCATCCGAGTGACCCAAATATGTGGAAAGCAACTAAACGTCTTTTAAGTACTCTTTCGATCATACCTACGTTGATAAAAGACAACCTAATCTGTGAGACTGATTCACAGAAGTGTGAACTGTTGGCAGATTTTTATGAAACTACATTTCAACCCACTGATCTTGCTGATTATGGTGACGATGAGATGGTGAAAGAAACTTTGAATGGACAATTTTTATCTGCTGAACTACCAATAAAGTTTGCATGCCAATCTGAAATTAAAGCAGTAATTAAAAAACTTCCACTCCGTAAATCACCTGGCCATGACCTTATTCCTAATATTATTTTGCGAAATCTCACCAACAAAGGCTTTTCATATTTCACATCAACCAAGTCAGTAAATGTTTGTAGCAAACTGTTAAATTAGCAAACTTATTGACTGTTTACAATTAACATACAGGGTGTTGAAAATGTCTGGAACCAACATTATATCTGGTGAGTGGTTAAAGAAAAACAACTGATATTTTGTGTACGGATATACTATGGGTTTACCTATCTTTTGGTGCCTTATGAAAATTTTTACCACTTATAGGGAACGTCCTGTGGAGGATTCAGTAAAAAGTTTTAATTGAAGCCTATGGTAAATGATACATCATTTTAAAGGCCATTTTTTTCTGAGTAAGGAGCCACAAGTTTCATCTCAAAAGGACCACCCTAGCAAAAATGGCGACTGTTTGAAATTTAAAAAACCACTTATAGGAAACGGAATTTTTAAATTTCAAACAGTCACCATTTTCGCTAGGGTGGTCCTTTTGAGATGAAACTTGTGGCTCCTTACTCAGAAAAAAATTGCCTTTAAAATGATGTATCATTTACCATAGGCTGCCATTAAAACTTTTTACTGAATCCTCCACAGGACGTTCCCTATAAGTGGTGAAAATTTTCATAAGGCACCAAAAGATAGGTAAAACCATAGTATATCCGTACACAAAATATCAGTTGTTTTTTTTTTAACCACTCACCAGATATAATGTTGGTTCCAGACATTTTCAACACCCTGTATGTTCTTCTCACTTTTAATTTCTGACAACAGCTGGAGTTTCATAACAATTTTTGTTTCCCATATTAATCTTATGGAGGAATACAAAACTTTAAAGGGCCCCAGGGCCTCACTCTCTAATTATTTCACTAAAAAGAAAGTTTCCTGCACAACTTCATGTTACGCTCTTTTCAATGACACCAAAAACATGTAAATCGGTTCAGAGTTTTGGAGGAGTAATTGTCACAAAAAACCTGCTTGTGTATTAAATAAGTAGATTAAATTCATTAAACTAAAAAATGACAAGTAGAATCTGGCTTACCTTAAAGACTACACAGTAAACACCAAACGTGTTACTAGTTTTGATCCAAAGTAATTATTGTAGATTAGTTAAAATTTCCAAATTTGTCAGTTTACAAATCAAAACCAAAAGTAAATTTAAGTATGATAAGAAAACAGTGATTTGTTGTATGTAAGAAGTTGTCTTTCCAGTTAAACAAACATCTTTCCACCATCTCTTATAGTTTTTAAGGGGAGCGAACTGGTCTAGTGCGTCTAGAGTGCAGGACTTCTGGCCCTGAGGTCCCAGGTTCAAATCCCGCAAAATCACCAATGGATTTTATCCGTGTGATAATGCCGCAACCCCTAGGTCAATAGCCTGAAGTAATGTGAAAAACAATACCGGGCTCGTGCCTAGCGTCCTAGGACAAAAAAAAAACCAAAAAAAGAAAAAGCTTTAACCTTGGTCTTAATTGTTACGATCCAATGTTAATCTGATGATAGATAGCGTCATTAAATTGAAAAATAAATGGGGAGTGGAATCTGGCTTACCTTAAAGACTACACACTAAACGTGCTACTAGTTTTAATTTAAAGTAATTCTTATAATAGCTGGATTCAAATTTCCAAATTTGTCAGCTAACAAATTAAAATAAAAAGTTAATTCAAGTATAGTTTGTGGGAGAGTTCTTTTATAAGTTCCATTTTAGCAAACAACTTTCTACAACCTCTTATTGTTTAGCTATGGTGGCAGAGGTTGTCAGGGTGGTGGTCGTAGATTTCTTTATTGTTGTATGACAAATCATACCTTTTCAAGTACCTACACTGTGTATCTGAAGAGTTTTTTAGACTTTATATCACTTGCAAGTTCTTGGCTAAACTCCTGATCAAGTAAGGCCTGAATAATGAGTGATTTAGTTAAATATTACTTTGAATCTTGTTTATTTATTTGTTATGTTTGCTGTTTTCTTTTACAGAATCAGTTCCCTCCCAGTTTACAACTTTACTACATCACCAAGAAATCCTGTGATATGGAAGAGGATGAGCAGTACCATATACCAATGGTTCCATGCTTATCCGTTTGAACAATGTATATGGTATCCATTTGTTATGTCTCCCCCTACAAAATCGTTGGAAAGAATAGGAGAGTTCTTTCTTCACAAGATACCTGGCCACATATTTGACAGGATTGCCGTGGCAACAGGCAAGGAACCCAGGTACAGTACTATGGTTAAAATCCTCTATTATCCTGTATTTTACCATTGACTATGGTATTATGATGTTACTCATCATAATACCATGTAAGTTTTAATTTTTTATGCTTTACTAGCTGTGTGCCTGTTCTACGCACAGGGATCTTATAGTAGTCAGCTGAATGTGACAAAAATCACACAATGTTGGGTTTTTGGACATTTGTAATTTTATTTCTTAAGTAGGTAGGCCATGTATTCTATGGAAAAGTACCGGTATCAAGGATCGTTGTCGAAAAGGTTGTTATGAATAAATAGGTAGGCGAACGTACCCAAGAGATGGGCTATGAGCCTATTGGCTGTATGGTCCAGCGATTGCATCACACGGTGAGTAGAAACAGAAAGTGACACATTGGAAAAGCGAGTTTAGCATCATCCGTAAACCTCTGTTACAATCACCCACTGCAGATGTGATTTTTTTAATTTTACCTACACTTTACACAATCGCCATTGAAGCGCCGTCAATGAGTGGAAACCTTGTTTGTAAGCTATTGGCGATGATCATTTAAGTGTCCCAGCCCTATACAACACTGATTCAAGGATTTTTTTCTGGTTATCAAAACACAAGAACAATTTTATACGCAAAGAATTTCTGGTTCCTGACCTGGATGATGCCTAGTTATTTAATTTCATTTACGGTTACACTAATAATATTGCACTTGCGATTAATTAAATCTGTTATGTTAGAAAAACGTTTTTAATCTCACTTGGTTGGGATTTACTTTCAAAACGTGATCAGAAATGGTTGCGGTATTTGTAAACAACATTTGTAAACAAATCAGTGACAGCTAGAAAAAATAATCTTGATCCGAACAGCTGTTCGCCATTTCATAGATAATTATGTGATAAAAATTGAACGAAAATTTGACAAAAGTCGCACAAAACTGCATTTTTGAACGTCCCTAATTTTATTTACAAAGTAGTGAGGCCATATTTTAATGGCTAAAGACACTCTCCCCAATCCAGTAAATACATTAAAATGACTTGGATCTTGATAGGTACTCTCGTTTTCATGGATAAGATTGCGTGAAATGCCATCTTGAGTGTTACAGACAGACAGACAGAAATAGAGATAAGACTTGTTTCTGCTTCTTTAATGTATAAAACATAAAAATAACCTAAACATATATAATTCTGAGCAATGTACAGACAAAACTCTAATTTTATTTATATAGATACAATGTTGAAACCTAATTTTAAGGCCATGAGCTTTTCCCTATCCGTTGACTTATCATTTGTTTCATCGTTTCATTCATCAACAGATAATTAACCTATGTTTTAGACTGACTAAAGTTTACAACAAACTATCAATGCTAAGAGGGAAATTGGATTACTTCCTTTTCGGCACATGGGAGTTTGTAAATGAAAATACTGAATTGCTGAGGAATAAACTCTCTGAGGAGGACAAGAAGTTATTCCCATATGACATATCAGTGGTTGATATCGGTGAATACATTCTACTTTCAAGATTAGGTGTAAAGTACTTCTACTTGAAGGAGAAACTGGAAAACATGCCTAAAGCAGAGAGGAAACAATCCTGGTAGGAATGTTTATTGTTCTTTATAGGTAGTAAAGTTAGTTAACCTTGGATGATTTTGCATATACATATAATTTTTTTAACCCATTTATTTAGAAATCACACTGGTGGTTTTAATAGCATAGTTAATTATCAATTGCATTCATGCACTTAGTTCATTAAATATGCAAATATTACAATTAACAATGCAACAGATCCATCAATGGCGACAGACCATCCTTTGTTATCTAACAAATCTACAGATCCGGTGTTAGAACAGAATGAGTTGTAACTGTAACTCTAGTCCCAACTCAAGTCACTGTGGCAGAGAGCCCTAGATTATCTAAATAATCATCAGATCTGGTGTTATTGAATGAGTCATAGCTGTAGACCTACTCTAACTCTAGCCCTAACTCCAGTCACTGGAACAGACAGTCCTAGAGTTAACTAACAATAATCAGGTTCTGCTGTTAGAGTTAAATGGGATCTAACTATAACTCTAGCCCCAACTGTCACTGATCACTCTTATCTTTCCTCTCTAGGCTCAAGATCCTTCACTACTCCGTGGTTGCTGGCTCATACTTTGCAGCTCTCAAACTGATGGTTTCCTTGGCTCATGTTCTACCGATCTAGCATAGGTATACTCATTGATATTGAAATACAAGCTCTACCACACTTTATTTATTTCCACCTTACTCCTTCATGCTGTAAACCATGACAATTATTGTTAACAGAAAGGTCATTTTTGAAATCCTCACAAAATTTACAATTACGATAATACGGTACATAAACATTGGGGTGTTGAATGAGATTCTATTTAAGTTTCATTGTAAAAGTAAAAATCTTTTAACCAAGAAAAACATTAATAAATATTAAGAGTCTTTGTAGGGTTTTGCTGAAAAGGTATAAAATATTATCAAAAACTTACTCGAATTCCTATAATATTATGAAAGTTGGCTGAACAAAATAACAAGAAAAAAGTAAGCAAAAGAATTGTCACATGTGTTTATAACAAGCTATCCACAGTATACTAGTAAATTACACAATACAGTTCAAAGAAAAAAATCAGTTGTTTGTAACTATTGAGCAAGATTACACTGAAGATTATAGAGGTAAAAAGTGTCAATCAAATACTGATCATTTTACTTAGCCCTACCCACCAAAACTTAATCCCCGAAGTACTACTGAGACACATGTTGGAAGGAAAATACATAGGTGATGACTGATATATTCCAATTGAACTGGGGGTTTTAATTGGCATAAAACTATTACCGTATGCTAAAAAATCCCAATAAAAAAACAGAGAGAATCTCAATTTCTTTAGAAGTAGTAGTGAAAAACAAACCATTTTGAAATATCAGTAATATGATTTTGATTATATCATAATTTTATCTGCTGTCATCAATCAGCGTAAAAGTCGAACCACCGGTTTCAATGACTAGAGAGGAAAAAGATCCTGTGCAAGTAGCACAAAAGTGTATATTATTTATGTTTAATTGCATACTTTACATTACAGAGTTGTTATTATTTCAGCGACCAAACGTCTATGCGGTTTGTGATTAAAATTTTTTTGGTGAATTATAAAAATGTCTGTTTACGATATTGTTTCCCCGGTACTTATATAAGAAATAATTACAATAAATTTGTCTATAAAGCTAACATAAGGATCACAAACTTGAATCCCGTAAACCTAACTAATCAACCGCGCATTCGAGTGAAAGGTCTCTGTGTGAAACTTTCCCAAAAAATTTCAGTTTTTCGATAAACCTTATCTGAATATTCTCATTCAATGTCTGCATTGGTAAAGGCACGAACCTCAAGGGCTGTTTTTTAACAAAGTTTTATTTACAATCTGTTTTACATTAAACAATAAGTAAATATGATGACTTTTAAATAAATAAAATAAAAATTGGAAAACATGACTTAGCAGCTAAACAGCTTTAATTAGCACTAACAAAAAAAAAGCAAAGATAAGAAATTTCAGAGCTGCTGTACAAATCGAGTCGGAAGGTCTAAAATATTTTCTCTTTTTAGTCTGTAGACATGTTGGGCTGTATTAAATAACATTAAAATATCAAAGAAACATCAGCTGTTAGATTTGTTTTTATTTACCATTATTTTGATTACAGAACTTTTCCCCTGATTCTAATTATTATACATGTTTACACTATTCTAAAGCTATTAGTTGTGATTTTGAATCTGAGTTTAATGCAAATACACAAGAGTGCCATTAAAATTAGCAATAAGTGCGACGATTTGCCTGTATAATTTGCATGGTAAGTGTATGTAACTGTTACAGTAGATATATTTAGAGAGAGAGAGAGATACCCTTTGACTATTAATTCTCTGGTATTCTTGCCCCATTACGAAGCACGGGCAGAACAACTAGTAACTATTAATAAAAATAAAAATATACAGTATAAAAATAATAAGATAGACAACAGTAACAAATAACTAAAAAAAAAAAACTACAGTATCATCACAGTGAAACCACAGTGGTGAAACAGAAACACCAGTAGTGGTAATCATTCTTTTTCCTTCTAACGTTGAGAAGAAAGTTGCTAAACACAATCGTAGGTTTTTTGACGTTGCAGAAATTGAAGGGACTCTAGTATTTGGTCGCGGCTTAGGTCATTCCTGACAGGGTAATCTTAGGGAATGATGAGTAATTATGTTTATTTATGGTCTAATCTAGGGACAGTCTGCAGTTTAAGAAGGGATGACAGACGCAGTGCTGCTAGGTTAGAACTGCCATAGAATAAATAAACAGCAAACCCTTAAACGTCATTAAAAACTACCATTGACGTATAAAGTCAATGATACTAGGCCGGTCATACTTTTTGAACGGACCAACGCAGGTTACTGTATTCTGTAGACATGACGCAACGATTTGTATTCCGTCTGAAAATAAATTTACGTGATGACAAATTGGTCATATCTATGCAACTTTCAGCTAAATGTTTCTGCATTTTGATATATTGTATTGTTTTACTACTTTAGGTACATTTGTTTTAATGACCGTTTAGGACTTCAATGCAGTCTAACAGGTTCTATACTCATCTGCGCTACTCTACCTGCGACCAATTTCAAATATAACAACAATCCGTGAGTCGGTGGCTCAGTTGGTAGAGTTAGTCTTCGGGCACAAGGTAGCGATGTCGTGGGTTCGGATCCCGGTCACTGCCGATAACATTTATCAGTACAGTTCACCTTCGTGCTGTACCGGCTCACCCCTTGCTTTGCTGGATACGTTCCACGCACGGGCAGTTAAAGTCTATGTGAACGGGCAAATGAAAGGTTAAAAGTGGCCGCCAACCTCTTAAAAAAAAAAACAAAAAAAAAACAAGTACTTAAGAAGTTTAAGAGTCGCCCCTAATTCTCGCATAACACACTCCACCTTCTCTGACGTTGCTTGTAGAGTTGTATCTCTTGCGTGATATACACAGTACTTTTATTATTTTATATTTTCATTTCAACACCCAAAGATCACAACACGTCAGTAGCTTTCCCTCGTCACAGGTTATCTATGAAGCCAGGAAGTTTTTGGGAACCGCGCGTGGCCATTGTTGGCGCACGCAACCTGCGTAGAAAGTCCCGCAGTGCGTACTGCGTGACAGAGGAGGGATCTAGAATAAACCAGATAGTGGACAAGAGCTACGTTGCCAATATAGTTAAGGATTGTGTGAGTCAGGAACAGGAACAAGTGAACGTAGTTGATATCAACTGCCGCGATAATGACGAGTCGAGCGATACCGGTCAGTGACAAATTCTGGTCAGGCTCCGGAAACACATATAGGTAGGTACCTACAACAATCAAGGACAACATTTCGTTAAATAACAACGGTATAAAACCCCAACAGGAGCCAAAATACCTACAAGCCCAGAAAATCTAAACGTTGACCCATGCGAGAAGTTGTTTATATTCTGGATCGAGGATAATCCAATAAAGATTTAACTGACAGTTTTATTATATCATAGACGAAGAGCATTGCACAATAGTTTTTGCTTTGGTTGTTTAATCATGGATTTGCCCAGAACAGAGCAGGAGTCCAGAACTTTCTAGATCTTTCTTGTGTTTTAAAAAGTAGGTATTAAAAGGAACATTTTTTCCTCTTTAACGAACAGACGAAAATCAATAAACATGTTAGCTTTCAAATAAAAGAAGTAGAAACTGCTCTTTACACCCAAAACTTTGTATTTTTCATTCAAATTGGGAAATTCTTAAATTGAAGGGAATTTTATAAAACTTCGTAAGGACGATTTTCCAGGCAATACAAAAATTCTGGAATTTCATTGAACTTTAAAGGCATATTTATATTTTCCCCTATTATAAGGTATAGTAAAGAAAAAAATATGATGGAATGTTCCGGTACGATAGAGATCTTTGACGTCATCGAACATTCTAGAACACTCCAGACGGGTGAACTACTACTTACACTATCTAAAATATTGAGACATTTACGTCACTGTCGGGCCAGAGGCACTCTACAGCCACTGCTATCAATAATCTTCAGAATGACGATAATCTCACATCTAAAGATTGGATCCAAAAACATTATACTTGATTCACGCCAAATTTATACAGCAGTTGCCAGTGGCAATTATTTAATTCCATAGTTGATATTACCGTAGAACAGAGTTTGTAAATATATAACCAGTCTTATCAAACGAAACTGGATCACGAAACAAACTTTGTTGTCAGAACTTACCTTTGGTTAGCAAAACTAATCAAAGTTGTCTTGGTTGGCAGAATAAACCTTTGTCGTCAAGACCTAACTTTGGTTGACGGACTAACATTGGTTGATAATTGGTCCAATCTTTATTCTGTGATAGAAATATCTATCTATATATATAATACGTGAAGCCGTTTTTTGTTAACGCAACTCCTCCCTTATTTGTGGACCAATTTCAACGTTTGAGGTATCAAAAGATTTGTCTCAATATGAAGTTTTGCAATAAGGTTTTATAATTCTAAAATTCCTGCTCTTAAGAGCGTGAGGCCCACTCAAAGGTCGGGTTTTCCCCATAAGAAATACATAGAACAAATTTAAAACCGAAAATAAACAGCTGTTTATAAGAAGCTGTAGCTTTTTGGGAGTAAATATTGAAATTGTAATATTAAGTAGGTTAATACCAAGTTAAACAGTTCAAATCTGTTTTGTTGGAAGAACAGAAAATGCCTCAAGTTCAAAGAAGAAATATTGAACACGGTAGTAGGACACAATTAATAATAAGATATTTCTGTGCGTATGAGGAGGGTAGAAAAAGAGAGACCTGGTCTAACAGATACCCATCCAGATACACATTCACTTTGTGAGATGAATAATATTTGCCAGTTCTGCTATGCAACTTACTTTGAAAGTGAAAAAATATACGAAGCTCATAGTGTTGTCGCGGTGGGAAAGTAAACTTGCCTAAATGTCAGATCAAATAAATGCATGCAAGAAATGTTTACTTCAGACACTGACAGATCGAGATATTTCAAAATATTTTGTTAAAATTACGTTAACCAACATTCAATGGTGTAGCTGCTTTAGCCTATTCAAAGCAGGTTATGGCTGTCCAGTTGGTAACCCCGAGTTTGTGGGTAAAAAATGGAGCACATGAAATGGTTGACATCACCCCACATTTCAGGTTACTCTACGGAGAAAATTCGTTTGATCGGGGGATGTCTCAAATCAAAGGAATAAAATGGTCCAACTTTAATTACTTAAGAAAGGGTATCAGTACGGTAACAGTGTTCTTCAATTCTCAATGCTGGAAAAACAGGCGGCTCATTGAGCCGCACGGGTTCCCTAGTTATTTATAAAACTTGAACTGGTTACCAAAACCAACATTGGCTAGCCGATCTGAACTTTACAGAACTTAACTTGGTTGACAGAAATCTTTGTTTGGCAGAATCAACTTTGGCGGAATTAACGCCATTTTCATAATATATCATGTAGCTCACGCAGTTCCATATATCGAAAAAGACTTTCCAACAGTAAATAGAGATTGCACCACGAGTGAAGGCCAGAATTAATTAATTGCTATTGCTCTTTCGGATGTAAGTAATATAATAGGCAGTTCTGAGGCCGCTTTCCTCAACAAAACCTTGAATCAAGTTCTGCAATTGAGGAACATAACCTTACATCTTCTAAAGCAGTTCATAATAACATGTTTGTATAACACAGTTAAATTTGAATAATGACAACTTCAATTACTTGATCTCCTAAACGTTTGTGAGGATATTCATTCTTGTTTTACGTCATAAAAATTGTTATGGAAGCCATTAAAAGTGCTTTGAATTACTTACAACTAGCTGTTCAAAAACCGAATACTGTAAACTGAATTGATCTTACGTTATTAGCATTTAATGATTGCTATCTTTTGAGGGCAGTGCAGTTCTGACATTTTGAAAATGGATTGTTTGCAAAATAAGTAACAAGATACATTTTCACCACTTTTTAGCGAATTTCCCTATAGGGAAGTAGCTATTACCGTAGGTCTCATGGTAAGACTTAGGCCCGGGACCGATTTACTTTTTCATTTTAATGTCCCCAGAGGCCAAAAACACCATTCGTTCAAATTTTTATATATGTATGTATATAGATATATATATATATAGATTTATATATATATACTAGCTGACCCGGCGAACTTCGTATCGCCTAAGTTATAGGTTTCCCCTAAGACAGACCGATGGAAAGAAAGTACCGTTACGTTTAATTTTCAAGATGATCTCGTTCGCATCGCTCAATCACGTCCTGGTTGAAGTTCGTTCGCTACGCTCACTCACCTTTGGGTTGGAGCTCGTTCGCTACGCTCACTCACCTTTAGGTTGGAGCTCGTTCGCTGCGCTCACTTGCCTTCAGGTTAGCTCGTTCGCTACGCTAACTCGCCTCCAGGTTGAAGTTCGTTCGCTACGCTCACTCACCTTTTGGTTGCAAATTAGCTGTTGTCATAAATGTAAAAGAAATAATAGTGCTGCACCCTGTTGGTAATCCTTGTAACTTTAATGCTATTGAACATCATAGAACAGAACCAACTTGTGTAATTGAAACAGCTGTTAAGATTCATTAATTCCATTTCTCATAAGGTTAACATGTGAAACTCCAGAGCCACTGGGGCGGAGCCCTTTTAAGAATTTCGAAACGGGAAATAGTTTACGTCCGATTCGCATACCTACAGAATTTACACACCAAATTTCATAACGATCGGTGAAGTCGTTCCGGAGGAGTTTGCAGACAAACACTGTGACACGAGAATTTTATATATTAGATATGTGTGTCCGTGAACACGATAACTTGAGTAATTTTTGTCCGATTTTGATGAAATTTGGTTTGAAGGTGTAAGGCGGGATAAACTTGAATGAGTTCGCGATCCAGCATGATCGGACCATGGGAACAGGGTTTTATGGGGGGTTTTATGGGGTAAAAATTGGTTTTTCTCACTTCTTACCCTCAAAACACAAAATTTCCCAATTTTTCTCTAAACCTTCTTAAAGAGCTTAAAAAAACAAACAATTCAGTATATCAAAGTGTTTTTGTACGGTTATTGGTTACGGAGGATACTAAAAAAATGGTAAATTTAAAAATCCCATGTTATTCTTATGGAGAATATTGTAAAATGTTGTAGTTTGCTTGTTTATGGATATATTTTGATCAAACTTGGCAAATTTATTTATTTTATAGTAAGCTATCAATATTTTACTAAAAACACACTACTTTATTAGTTTCCATGTAGCAGCAAACCTAGGTACTCGTTAAACCTAATGTTATTTAAATAGATCAATTGAAAATCAATTCCGCCAAATGGAAATTCGCTTAGACGGCAGGTTTGCTGCGGCGGGGGTATTCTAGTATGCTATACATGCAAAAAATGCAAATATTGAACTAAAGCATTTGATAAAACTGGAAATGATTAAATTTAAAGTGTGTACGACTTATGTACACACTTTACTTAAGTAGTTCAAATACATAAATTGTTCCGTGAATAGGTAAATGCTCTATAGGTTTCTCCCTTCTTCGTTTTACTTAATTGTCAGTCCCTGGTAAAATTAATGTTCTCACTTTCCTAGATGAAATCCGATTTTAAATTGATGATGACTAATGATCCTAACTCGCACAACATATCACGACTCCGCAGTCAGCAAATCCCTCTTTAACTTCAACTACCAACATGTAATGTCATTATTTGAATTAACATTAATTATTCAGTTGCTTACATTTAAGTTGACGAATTTATAGCCAATAGATAAATTCATTTTCCCATTTTTGTTCAATACCTCGCTCACAATTTCAAACCTTAACAACAGCCAGTTTACTTGTTAAGCCGCACATTTTCCGCCGTTTCCCGAGTAGTGTTCCACATTATCAGTAGCCAGGTGCCGCTTACGTCACTAGCAGGGGGTAGGAGAAAGTAGGGTCCTGCCCCCCCCCCTTGGTGGCCTACTCAGGGACCCCGGCCAGTGTTTCCATTTGAGGGATAAAAATCCCTTTCTAGGGATATTTAGGGCCTTCGAGGGATTGAAAAGGGATTGAGGGATAACTAGGGATAATCAGCGAAATTGAAGGATTTTTTTGATTTTCTAGGGATTTCAGACCTTTGACAATATAAAATTGAAATATTGATAAAATAATACATTATGGCTATATTTCATCAACGTTAAGGACCTATTTTGGCTAATCTTGGAAGGTATTGATAATGATAACACATTGATTATACTACTTTTCCCTAGGTTTTGGTAACAAACAAATCGATACGATTGTAGCATAGATAAAAGATACTCCTCAAAGAGTATGTTTTATCTATGGTTGTAGGTAGTGGTAGTGACGTAGTGTTTCAAAGTCGGAACACACAAGGGGAAGAGTAACAGCTGGGAACAGCCAACACTGCACGAAACAAGCAAAGGGCTGGAGTCGGTCGGTGGAATGGAATGGCGGATCTAGATTACCTACTGTGATTTGTTTCTTTCTTAGTACTCTAAAGCCCTGTGTCTATGTCGAATGTTTGTTTTCGTTTTGATTTTGTTTGCCGGTGATTTCTGTGATGTTTTTTGGTTAGTAAGTAGACCTAACTTGGTGTAACCTTTTCACCAAGGCATGGTGGCCATGTTTGAAAAAGACAATTTAAGTTTGAAATATGGACACTTGAGTAATATTTTTGAAACAATTGTAAAGACTTATAAATAAAAATTATTAGTTTATAAAATTTTAAAAATAATTATTTGTTTAATTTTTTAATTAATTAATCTTGTTTTGTACAACATAGACAGTTTTTAATCACGGCTACCTTTAATTCCAGGCCGGAGGCCGCGGCCTTCGAAGTGGCAACGTTGCAAGTATAGTGTTGTAAAAGGTGTTTGGAGAACGCTGAGCTAATGATATTTATGTATTTTTTTAAGAATACGAAAGCTTGGTTACTGGGCTATGAAAATGTTGACTCCACATTGAATGTACAGAAATAGATTTTCAATTTATATTGCTTTGGTTTTCGATTCTATATTATGTTTTATTTCCATGTTAACTTATAGGACGTCTTGCGCTTAACAATACTTAAGGTACTTGCAACGTTGCCAATTCTACCAGGCCACGGCCTGCATGGAGTTAAAGATGGCCGTGGTTTTAATGGTACAATAATGTTTTTTATATAGTATTACTTTATAAATAATATGGGATATTGAAGAATACTATCACCAGTTACCATATTTTAGGTGGCTATACATGATATCCATTGGTATTGCTGCAAAAATAATAAGTTATCTAGATTTGATGAAGAGGGATAATTGGAGGGATTATTAGAATACGGACTAGGGATAACTAGGGATTTTTTGACGTTGGCCTAGGGATATTTTTTTCTTGCGGATGGAAACACTGACCCCGGCCCAGTGCTCCGCGCGCTTCCGACCCTACTGTAGTGTATACGGTAACTATAGGATCTGTGTTGACGTGTTCTTGTTGGACGAAAATATTCAGACTCGCAGGTAAATTATATTAAATTTCATTACTATGGTTTTGCTTTTTTTGAATTATTTAAATTTTGTATTTGTACCTATTTTTTATAATGTGTTTACTGTTTAAGAAACGTTTACTTATTTTTTTACTGAAAAGTTTTGCTATATTACTCACAATTTATGTAGTGTTTAAATTATTTTTATAACGTCGTTTTATGTGTTAATTTGTAGTTAGGTGACAGCTAATTATTTTGAACCTAAAAAACGAGTTGTTGAGTCAGGCAACGATTAATTAGAGGCTAAACAGGTTGCCTGATATGAAGGGTGCCTCTCTGAATCAATAGTTTAGTTAGAGTATTGACCATCAAAAAATATGCATACAATAGGCCGTCTAAAAATGTACAGTCTAAAAATGCGTATACTTCAACGATACGATATGTTAAATACGATAAAAATTTAAAGCTTTGTGAATAATATGCAAATAATCGAATACTCTTTAGCCAATAATGAGTACAGTACCGTCAATTTGAAAGATACTACTTCTCCCATTGGTTTTTAGCGTATTATTTGCTTTATTTCGTTTGTAAGCTATTATTTAAAATGTAGTATTAGATGTGACAAATCACCTGTCCAGAGAATTGATCTGATGTGATGATGTTAACTTAAATAAATAAATAAAATAAAAAAATAAATAAAAAATTCTCTTCACATTTTAATAGTAATGCTGGTATCACATTTTGCGAGCTCAAAGTTTACTGAAATCCGTTTTACTAACCAAATTAACATACTGTATCGTAAATTAAGTGCAATTGCCCGTGTACATGTAGTAATTATTGTATTGTTGGTAACAATTCATGACTAGTAGATATTACATGAGTAATAATTTGTTATCGACTGTTAGCAGTTTTCCCTTGCTTCACAACGGGATAAAGAAAAGGTTTACCTTGCCATTGATTATTTATAGAAACTCAATTGTACATCTCAAAGTCATACAATTCTCTTTTGTGTGATTCCATCAGACGTGTTGTGGAATAAATTTCTGTATCAACGTCAAGTTCAAAAGAATTATATTACTGCCATTAGACAGATTAATATTTCTTTACAACTTCAAACTTAAACTTGAAACTTTGAAAAACAGGGCAAAGCTAGACAAATAGCAAAACGGCGATGTGCCTACGACATATTTTAGTAGCTATTTTTGTGTGAATTGGGGTTTCGCGTGATGGCATAACATACAGCCAAGCCACAGCCAACTTACAGTAATTAATTATACTAGTGTAGATGATGGATTGATTGTTTATCGATACAAATTACTTTTCAAATCATTTTATGTATAACTTCCAAATTGTATATTGAACTACAATAAAAGCTGGTAATGTGAGATTGAATTACAAAGTTACAATTCACTTGAGGGTAGATAATCAGCTGTTTTGTTTAATTAAGCCATAACAATGGTTCTGTTATTGAGTGTATGAAAGCCCATTGTTGTACACCATCCTTGACTTTTATTGATAGAACTTAAAAACCCTATAGTTTTAGATCGAATACAGTTTTTATACAACACCCTAAAGCTGATTATAATTTGAACGGTGTTTTGAAATAATAGCGTGAACTTAGTAGTTTGTCGTGATTAAAATAGCTTATGCTAACAACGGCAAGAACATGTTTAAGTAGGCCTATGTTTTGATATGGTTTTGTCTTGGCTTCTTGATTAACTGCAAGAGACTTGTTTATTGAATAGCTACTACAATACTACTACAAAGCAATGAACGGCATTCTGTTGGTCAGAGTTATGTGATTACCTGCTAGGCTATCCATTCAAACGGATTTGTCATTGAATGGAATGCCTAACAGCAGGTATTAATAGTATATTTCTCCACTAGGGTGTAAAGTGGCTCTTTGCGACCCAAGCCCAAGTTTACCGACCGATGTAAAACGTCGGAAAATCAGCGAGGGTTGAAAAGACTAGTTTGCCCGTGTAATTGTCATATTGCAATTGCAACGTTATTTATCAAACTTAGTTATAAAATGAAAATATTTTGTATGTAAAGATAACCTTTCAAAACGACTTCTGACATGGTTTCAATGTTGCTAATGCAAACAAACAGCTGTTTAGTAAGTGATTCAATAGTTTAGTGAGTCTATTGTGATTGTGTTAGTGTACATTATGCTATCGGTATGTCGAACTAATGACTAGAATGCAAAGATAAGCGACAACCAGTTAAATCAATCGACACATAATTTCGATAAATGTGATTGCTTACAATCGAAGTTTGCAACTGAGTTTACAACAGCTGACTTTTACTCCCTAGGGGGGGAGTAATAAGGTACCTTAAAGGCTTTATAGTCTACTATAAAGCCTTTTTACTCCCACGAGCGTTTGCTAATATAGAACCGCAACGTATGTATTAAATCTACTGCTTTTGCTGCAGTAGTAACCTTTTTGATATTATTTAGCAATCCAGTAGCTAACATCTTCAATTAAACACTAACTAAATAAAAACAAACTTACTAACATAAACATAATCTTTCCACTGCAAAAAAAATAGGTCAACAAAAATATAAGATCTAAGACAAAATAATTTCTAAGACATGTTAGTAGGTATGAGGATAAAGAATCCTTATAAGCCAATAGAAAGTAAAGTAGTAGCCCTTGGTTACAAGATTTCAAACTAGAATCATTGACGTCAGCCGTTAGTTCTGCTAACCTCAATTCTGTAATAGGAGTTTGCGAAATACACACAAGAATCTGAAACTAAACTGTCGAATATTACTTAATACTGCACAAATATATGACACGAATTTTATCAAATATCTTCATTCAAGCTAAAAAAATGGCTTTAAAGAAATTTAAAAAATATATAAACAGCTTAATAACCCTAGTTTTTTTTCATCAAGTGACTTGAAAATACAGTTTTGTCATAAACTAAAATGGAATTTTATGTACAACGTCTAAAAAGTTACATCAGTTAATATTTTTGTATATTGTATTTTATGGGGCATGACTTGTCCTTTTTGTCTTAGCTATTTCTTAATATCACAAGCCAATTAATGTATGCCTTTTGGATCAAATTACTTTGATACATCTAAATCAATTTTCCCAATCAATCAAATCAATTTGATCAATTTTCGGCCAATTTTCACCGAGAGAATAATTGATTAAAACGCCACACTTCAATCTCTAATGGCTAGTTTGTAGCCTTTTTAGAACAATAGTAAAATGAGGGATCTGAATCAATTGTTGTCACAAAACTATGAGTTGAATGTTTGTATAATTTCTCCGTACTTATATTCAAAGGTATTTTGATAAACCATGCACTTTTAGTTTAAATATAACCTGTGGTTAGAAGGCCGAACCTTCTACAATAATCTCACAAGACATGTTCTTCTTTCACTAACCTCGGATTGGATTACTAAGGGTTGTTTACTTCATCCCTCACTCTCAGACTCTGTATTTAATAATGTTTTAAAATACTCCTTGACAGCGTAGACATATTACATATATCTAAATATGGATGGACTATTCTTACATTTGAAAAATTATGTATATAACATAACATTCTAGCGAAAATGAGTCCGAGGTACAACTAAAATGCTTCTTGTCCACAGCATGAATGTCAGTCAAGTTCAAGTTCAACGAGGAAAAATTGTTTTGTTGGAGCTCAGTATTTTAGTTTGGTAGTTGTGCTTCAAACTATGGGTTGGTTTACTTTTATAACCGTTTGTCGTGAGTTATATATTGTTCAGTACAAATTAAGAAAAGCTACGTATTAAGACTTTGTGCGCTTTCCAGTTCCATTTTACTTCATAGACGTAAGATCATAATATTTCTGGGTTTTCCTCTCAAGTACTTTGATACTGGATAAATAATATTCTTTGTAACAATTTTTCGTATACTTTTTGCCACTTATGACTATGAGGGACGTGAAAGAGGTGCACAGTGTTAAATTTGTTCTTAACATGTAACCAAAGATATAGGAAGGACAAGATGTATTTAAGCCTTTTAACGAGTTAGGGAGACTATAGAAAGAATAAGATTCCTTTCTAGCTTGTTTTCACCGTTTGCAGGCCATAGAGTTCAACGTAGTCTATGTTGCCCCACGGTTAGCATTATCCGCCCCAGGTTTGCTCTCGTCGGCACCCGATAATGATACAGAAGAGCTGGTACACGGGCGGAGAAAGTCACGATTTTCCGCCCACAACGCCCGGCCCGGGGCGTAACTCCTGCGGCGGTGACCTTAGCCTTGGGAAGACCTTAACCTCTGTCAGTGTGTGGCTGAAAAGTGAGCTATGGTTGTAGTATTGAAGTGACCGTGCTTTTGAATGTCCTCAATGCGTGTCGAGCCACAGAGAACAACACACACTGGAATCATGGCAGGGTTGTCATGTGATCATGTATTTGTGTGTTACGAATGTTCTGTGTTATGTCGTGTGTTACGAATAACTTTGATCATAAATTGCTCTTTATTTCACGAGACTGCAGTAATCTTTGCCGCTGGGGACCGAGCTGTAGTGGCAGAGTGCGTAGTATCGGTCCTGGGATAAAATGCAATCAACCACCAATTTTATTTTTATTTTCGAATTTTGTTTTGTGAAAATGCCACGTCCCTCTAGTCGTCTCCAAGATCAGGCCAGATCCTAGCGTTGTGAAGTAAAGAAAAAATAGTAAATGGTCAATAATATAGGACCCTATAGCCTGTAATTGTTTCAGTACAATAGTCCGAATAGAATTTTTTTGTCCTAGGACGCTAGGCTCGAGCCTGGGATTGTTTTTCACATTATACTTCAGGCTAGACCTAGGGGTTGCGGCATTATCACTTAGATAAAATCCATTGGTAATTTGGCGGGATTTGAACCCGGGACCTCTAGTATTGAAGTCCCACGATCTAACCTCTAGACCAGCTCGCTCCCCCCGAATAGAATATTCAGTAGGATGTAATTAAAATAGCCATTCGGTAGTCCTGTCGCTGTGAGGTTAGCAAAATAATTTGGCGATTGGAATGTTTAAATCCCATTATTTAGAATTGTTATTGAACGAATGTCAAAGGCTTCAAGAAAATGGTCAGACTCTAGGTATTGCAGCTTAAATGTTCGAACCTAAATCGAGAATATCACTAGTGAGATTCTTTGACTTGAGCTTTGTTGCCGGCCAAGGTTAGATTGTTCTAGTATCATTAATTAACAAGTCAATAGACAAAGAGATCTAAATCTAAATGATTAGATATCTAAATGGATTAGAATTGAATTATAATTTTTGAAAGTTTTTCATATAGGAATGATCCGTTCCGGAACTCTTCTAATCATGAGGTGGTTTTATGATAACTTCCGTGCTGATCCTCCCGATTTTAATTCTTTTGATTTGTTATCACTTATTAAATGACAATTACTTTACAGTAATCCATAAAGTTTCCATGATAAAAACGAGTGCTAATCGATGTCTTCCTATAAATAGTTCAGTCGTCATTGTACATTGCAAATGGAGATATACAATCAACTGTTCAATCAATAGTTACTCATGCTCAAAGTCTAATCGTTCAGTGTTTAAAGAGTGATGGTAATGAGCATAACTATCAAAACTGCTAAGGACCTCGAACAAGCAAACTTTGAACTTACTTAATGATTCACAGATCGGTTTTGTATGAATTATTCGAGGCTTTTCGATGAATCTCGTCCAACAGAACTTTACTCTCATTAAAGAAATGGTCATCAGTCGGTTTGGAGATGTAACGTTAAACTTTCCACTTTCCGGAAATATTTCCTCATAGACAATTCTTTTCGTTTTTCATGTTTGGAACTGGCATGGACTGAAGACGATTTCAAACTGTGGATCCAATCACTGTTTTGTCATTTTGAAACTTCAATTGTTTCCCTTTATGTTTGTGATTTCTTCCTAAATAAAGAAATTGTGTGTTTACCGTTACTCCATAAGTTGCTGTGTTTTATGGCCTATATTTCCTCCAACCGTGTGTTGACCTCAACAAGGAAGCAGGCCAAGTTGCCTTGTCACCCAAGTCTGACCACTGACCACCTGACCGGTCTAACCTCACATTCCTGGACCAACAGTTAGGATAATTGTAGGTTCTAGGTCCGCTACGTCCAGCGGCTTCGGCGCCGGTCAATAATTTCCTTAGATGAAAAAATACCCACACGAACAACTCGTCGAAGGAAGGCAGGACAGAAAACGTCATTACAGAATTGGTGTTTCGGCAATCCGTTTAGTGGATTTTTTCTATTTTGTTAAGAATGATTTTATTAGGAGACTAGCTGACCCGGCGAACTTCGTATCGCCTAAGTTATAGGTTTCCCCTAAGACAGACCGATGGAAAGAAAGTACCGTTACGTTTAATTTTCAAGATGATCTCGTTCGCATCGCTCAATCACGTCCTGGTTGAAGTTCGTTCGCTCCGCTCACTCACCTTTGGGTTGGAGCTCGTTCGCTACGCTCACTCACCTTTAGGTTGGAGCTCGTTCGCTGCGCTCACTTGCCTTCAGGTTAGCTCGTTCGCTACGCTCACTCGCCTCCAGGTTGAAGTTCGTTCGCTACGCTCACTCACCTTTTGGTTGCAAATTAGCTGTTGTCATAAATGTAAAAGAAATAATAGTGCTGCACCCTGTTGGTAATCCTTGTAACTTTAATGCTATTGAACATCATAGAACAGAACCAACTTGTTTAATTGAAACAGCTGTTAAGATTCATTAATTCCATTTCTCATAAGGTTAACATGGGAAACTCCAGAGCCACTGGGGCGGAGCCCTTTTAAGAATTTCGAAACGGGAAATAGTTTACGTCCGATTCGCATACCTACAGAATTTACACACCAAATTTCATAACGATCGGTGAAGTCGTTCCGGAGGAGTTTGCAGACAAACACTGTGACACGAGAATTTTATATATTAGAGATAACGTGTATAGGAGAATTGTATTTCAGGTGTCTGGTCGAACTAGGAATTGTCATAGAAACCTTTCCAAACATTCAAGAAGGTACACAGTAGTTGATAATATGTGCACTAATCAAATTTTTCAACATATTTTTTTTTGAATATAGTTAATTTGGTTTACTGTATTTTTTATTTTACAATGAATTTTACTTAGTGAAAGGGTTTATGTAAAGTACGTAACATATTTTGACACTGCATAGCCTCACATGAGCTAGATCGCAAACAACTTATTGTTGATGCTATCTTGTTTTGATAGGTATGTATAAACAACTTAATTTACGAAGAAATATAGTTCTACTGGTATGGTTAATTTTAAACTGGGCTTTAAAACAGAGTATGTGCGTTGCTCTTCTTAATTTAAATCTTAAGGTATGCCAGTTCGGTCCAGAGAGGGTTTCATTTTGTACAATAGTATGTATTAATTTTCCTGGGAGAATAAAATACAGTAAACTACTCGACTTCTTCTACTAAAGTTGTTCCGTTAACAAATCATTGGAATCCGTTAAGAAACCGTCCCTAATTTTGTCATAAATCCAAATGATTCATTGACTGTGACTCAATGAATGAAGAATTGGATCAAGCCATTCACGTTCAGTTTAATATAGTTCTATTTTGCCCTTTCTGCGGGAATAACTATGCGCATTTTTACTTAAGAAATACCCGTTAAGAGTTGTATCTAGTTCACACTAGAAATGACTCTCAATAGGTTTATGGTCCATAAAGGACGGGAACGGCTCTTTGGAAGTACCCGAGCTATGTTCAAACCAGGTTACTTCCCCAGAAGTGAAACGGTGGAAGTTTCCAGACTATAAAAATTCAGCATTACATAATGATGGTATTGTTTGCCAAAAGCTTCACTATTGAATGCATAACGTTACGATGGTTTTCTCGGCCGTTTCTCACTTGATGGTTGACGTTTGCGTACGTTGTTAAGGCCCTGTACACATGAGGGCGGCAGCCGCCGCGGTTGCTATTTTGCGGGAACCGCGGCGGTTGAAAGTACAAAGGAGCAAATGGGACCGTTCACATGCAACCGCCCACTTCCAGTCAACCGCAACTAACCGTGGCGGTCGTAGATTTCCCTTCGACCGCCGCGGCTGCCGTGCGGTTGGAGTTACTTGAGTTGGCATGAGAGCGTACACATGAGGGCGGTAGCCGCCGCGGTTGACTGCAGTTTCTACTATAGGATCACAGACATCTGCGCGCTTGCCCTGTGGACATCGCTCTCTGTGTTGGTGAAGTGTGTAGCTGTGGCTGGAGTTGATGTAGTGCTCGTAGTGTAAGTTTAAATGACCATGCGTGCTGCTGTGGAACCAGAAAACTTTGACACTGATCTGTTCATTACAGAAGTACAAAAAGAAGATACGTTTAGGACATAAACTAAAAAAGATTGCGTAGCAAGAGTTAGTTGAGTTTTTTGCTGAAAAGAATTGTCAAGCGTTATGCGTTTAAAAGAAAAATAATTGGGTAAATACAGTACTGGCTGTCAAGTGACGGTCAATTAACACCGCAACCGCAGCGTAACCGCGGCTCCAACCGCTACCATGTGTACGGTCCTAGGCGGCTGCCGCCTTCATGTGTACAGGGCCTAAGTCTTGACGAGTTCAGGCGTTTCACATCTGACGTCATCGCGTTTGCTTGTAATTGTTAGTACTGTCAACGAGCTATTCTCGAAACGCATAAAAGTCTGATATGGGATTTTTTGAGACAAACAAGTATAACAAGACAAACTCATCCGTCGATTCTTGATCTTCGGGTAGTGACCACATCATTGAACTGGGTACCTACACTATTAGTTGGAGTTTCAGATAATCAGATGCGTAGCAGGAATTCATCTTCAAGACATCCAAAAGTCAACTATCGGTTATGCTTATTAAAAATAACTTCACCAAAGTAAACACCTAAAACGTGTAGAATTTTGGTTAGGTTACGACATTCGTGCTGTGACATCATTTCGTTTGAGAAAAGACTTCTGACTGAGAGATAATTTCATAAACCGCGGATAATGAGCCTAAAGAGGTGTGATTGCAGAGGGAAATACTCTCTCACCATGGGTCCGAGTCTCTAAGGATTTTGGTTCCTCGTAATTGTTTCACAGTGGTAATCATAATCTACTTCCTAGTGTTTGTATGACGTTGCCAAAACACCATCGTAATATCCTGACACGTTACACGTTGTTGCAGGTTGACGTCTGACTTCCCCTCTCACTCTCGCACCTGACTGACCGGTAAGTCTCTCTCACTCTTTCTCTTGTTGATCTCTTCCGCCCTAGTGAAGACCAGTCGGTGTCCGCATTTCCCTCCACTTCCAGCTTGCAGCTTCGCTTTCGATCCATGCCAGGGAACTGTTGATTTCCGATGTCCTAGAAAAAGAAGTGGCTCAAGGACAGACCCTTGTGGCATTGCTGCCTGATACCCCTATGTTTTTATTCAAAAACAAATCGGAAAAGGGGTAAAGGGACATGGACAGTTTTCAGATCTTATTTAATGAGCGTTTTAGATTCATACAGAAATTCCAATAACACCTCCATAACAACATGTTCTTTTAATATGGCAGGACTCTACTCTTGACGTTTTAGTTTTTTTCGTCAAATAAAATCATTTCATTTTAGCCTAATGTTCAAATACTGTATCTTGATGGAATTAAAAGTTGCAAAGTTGGTTGGAGAGCTCGCTTGGTAATCAAAGCCTTCTTTGACAAAGCGAAACTAGGCCCAGCTGTCCTTGGGTTTGTGATCCTGACCAAAGAATCCGCTTGTAAAGACGATCTGTTTCATTGCAGCCGTATTACATCTCCAAATCTTCCACTACATTCGTTCTACACTCATCTACCATTATTTGTTTTCTTCATTCTCTTTGGTAATCTCAGTAATTCAACTAATTGATTTGCGCATTCTAATTAATGATTAAGCTGAATATCCAATCAATTATAACACGTGCAAACCAACCTATAACCCTTCGTCTATCAAGGACTGAAGTTTCACCAATGATAATTGCGATACGGCGTAATTTATGCAATAAGCTGTTTATAAGCTCCACACGTCTTCGTCGCCTAGCAGGACTGTATGAGTGATCGTGATGAAACTTTGATGGCATGCCGAACAAAGTGTCATGAAGCCAACACACTCGTCGGAGGCCAAGATAATAAAGGATTTGAACCTCACTACTCGATGTTATAAAACATTAATAACCTGAGGCAAACTTCCTACCACATGAGTATCGCCTTGTAACTAATACGTCTGTTTTTGCGTAGTTCATTGAAGGCGGTCGGTCAGATGATCGTTGTGGATGGGTAACCTTTCAAACCGCAGGAAGTGAAATAAATATGTCCCCGCATAGGCTTACTAAGCACAATAATAATGGAAGAAACTTGAAATTTTATACTATCCATACGCCTATAAACATATTTTGAAACTACGGTTGAGTTAGTCTACTTTGAACACTTAAGACATCTCATATCAAGGAGTTCATAGTCAAGCCTCATATTCTTAATCTTTGGAGCTAAAGCGTTCCTAACATCAGTAGATCTATATGGATGTATATGGGCCTTTGAGGAATGCTCAGATGTTCTGAGTTGTAACCGAAAGAATTGTATCCGTGTGTTTGTAGTAGTTTTTGTTTTTTCAATCCGATAAATGCTGTCAGACGTCTTACCAGCCATAGCTCTGGCTATGCCTTGTCTACAAGGCAAGAGGATTAGCACTGGAACGAGCTTTTTCCCTCTCTAGGGTCACACGTTGCAATTTTGTCCTAGTTTTCCTTGAACCTGCTGACAACCCAGCGGCCTCTGTAGGAATGATAGCATCTCTCTTCACTCTCAACATCTTCCTAGTGTTTGCAGACCGGAAGTTCCCCAATTACTCCGACCACGCCGGATAAGGCGGTAACTTTCCTCCGCCAAGTGGAGTCGCGGACCGATTGCCAACTGGTTCTGCTGCGTTCCTAAAACATGAAACCGGTTGGTGCCGACTTGACCCAAAACAAGCGATTTCGAAATCGTATTTGTTGGATGCAGTCGGACGTCTTATTGTATTGGGCAATGGCAGGAGGAGTCATCGACTTTGGCACCTGACCTTCCAGGGTCATATGCCTTAACTTTTGTGAATTTCCATCAATGTACTATAAATTACTATAAATTTGTTATTCTGATGGCAAAAGATATACTCACAGGGGTTGATCACACCACACTTGGTAATAAAATGGCGTCCAACCCAAAAACTTGAAATTGGAAACGTATCTTCATTGGCGTTGTTGTGTACTATGATGACATTTGATATCTTCACGAATAAGTCTTTAACGAATATGATCATTCCAAACTGTTCCTTCCAGATTGTAATTTTCGTACCCAAGTCTCATTGTGGGGAAGGAGTCAATAGATATATTATTGGTTGAAAAAATAGAATTGGCTTTATTGTTGTTTCAAATTACTTGATTTTTGGTTGATTAAGTAACGTTGTTTCTTGACCTGTTTTAGAAAGTTTGGACAAGAAGTAAGGTGTGTTGCCGTTCAAACTAATCCCACATGTGCCTTGATTTTTTTTTTAAAATTTGAACAGGCTGGCACATGAAACTATAGACTAACCAACGCGTATGTTTTTATCTATGATTGAACTCTAGTATATCTTACGGAAAATGTTATTAAATATAATCAGAAATATAGATGGTATGATTAGATGGTATAGCTGAGTTAAAATATAGTAAACAAATTTAAGGTTGATTTTACTTATACTACAGTGCGATCATGCTTGGTTACACAACCTAAAACTGTTACGTACTCAAGTCCCTAGATCGAAATCATATAACATCAAAGTGTGTCCTTCGTAAGGATACGTGTCGTGGCCCGGCAAGTATAAGTACTACAACGAGTGATTGTACTTCTGGTATTCTTGGACCTAATGTAGTCATGAGTACGTAACAGGCACTGCAACTACACAGAAACGTTTGACTTAAAATTTACATAACTAGATGCTTTTATTCAAAGGGTTATTAAGTTTAAAACACAGGTATGTTACGACAACATGGGGCAATACAAATTGTCCAACGCTCAATTGTCATTTACCTGCGTTCCTGCGTTGTCAAAAGATGACAGAGGAGTGTCTAAGGATATTTATGTTCTACAATTAAGTAATCACGTTTATTTTTATCACGAGAGCATCGTCCTGACACGTGAATGTCCTGAGTCCTTCGAGGACGACGGACGACAAACTCTTGTGTAAACAACTCTGGACTTGTTATCCTCAGCTCGAGGCCGCTCCAAGGATCTCCTGTGTTGCCGTCGTTCAACTGAAAAAAAATCAACAATATACAATAATTAAGGGTAGGAAAATAATTCTCGGAGAGCGAAGTCAGCTAGTATTGGAATAGTCAATAGGTGTACAGAGAAAATGCGCTTGTCGGGGTTTTAAATCATTTTACGTCGAGACAAAAACCCTGAGCTATTGTTTTGACATGGTTTATCGACAGGTCAAAGTCCTTTGGAGCAAAATCTGTATAAATGATTATTTAAATGAGAGTCTATTTACTAATCAAGTCAGAATGTATCCTTGGTTTATAAAACGGGATTTAAGCTCTAGCGATGAAATCTATACTAAACGACAAATCTAAATACAGTACACTTAATGAAACGGCAATTTACGACGGAGGTTATCATGGTGTAGATCCATCCACGAATACTAGAACAGAAACGCTATGGATCATGAGCATAAAAAATTACGTCACTGGTGCGAAAGTAAAAAGGTTTTATTAATATTTAAATTGAACTTTCAACAAATTTCCAAATCATCTGTTACGGCTATTATAGACATTCAGGCCAGGTCATTTATTCATGGTTATGATCCATACAGTTTCTGTGGATTCGAACATTCATAAACAAACCCCGGTTTTTTGTATACAAACCATGATACTATAACTGCTTAACTTTCACTCGTATGTTTAAAATTCACTAACGAATGGTTTCTAGTAAAAGTTGTCCTTTAGAGAATGTTGTCTTTTTGAGAAAGATAATGGTCTTAGATCCTAATTGTGGATTTTAACTGATCCACAAACTGTTCAAATCCACAAACAGTCTAAACCCAAGGCGGGATTTGAATTTGGAGCCTACAGAGTATCCCCAATATTCTGTGTTGGAAGGTAAATACGTGATAAACATCAACGCTAGTTTCCTTCCTCTGTTAGTCTGTTTTAATCTGAGGGACTAAAAAGTTAATTACTGTCTAGGAAAGTGCCTGTAGGCAAATAAGAGTGTAGGCGGTGCGGAACCGCATGGCGGGCTTGCCAGGAGAAATCCTTGTCACCTTGTCTCGGTTTGGGTACTTAAAATTACTTAACTGAGATGTTACAAATATGGCGTCCTTTAGGAGATAATGCATCTGCCAAATGGTGTTGACTTTGGTTTTCTGTGTCATAAAAGTGCAGGCTTAGTAAGGCTGAGCATATAATGGTTAACTAGGCTGTTTAACCCAATGGACAAGTATTAAACACGAGATGGTATTTTTTTTTTACTCAGGAAGTAATAAGATCGAGTGTTTCAACACAAGGTGATCCAGGCAGGGTGCATGCACGTATTTTGTCGGCCAGGAAGTTCCTCTTATCCACACGGCAGGGCTAAGGTCAAGTGTCTTTTGTTGACTGACCTTGTCATCTTAGATAAGATCCAGATTAGTATATGGAAGGTATTAACTTGCTTTTTAACTATGATGGATAAATCGCAATTATGAAAAAATCTTACCCTGTTATTCGATTCTACGTAGAACATTGTGGCGAATCACTCTTTTTGGGAATCCCTTAATAAGATTAAGTAAAAATAATACGAGTAACTTTGGAAATGTAATGTTCGTGAAGACAGCTTTTGTTGGTTCTGTTAAATTTGAGGTTGTTGTCGACAGTACACGTTTGTTACTTAACAAATAGTTATTACCACGATAGCTAAAAATAATTAAATATTTCGAAGGTTGAAACGCCTACTCTAATGAGATGTTTGTTTAGTTTTTCGCCCTGAATACGTTTATTGATTGACTTATTTCCTTCATGATACATACGGAAAAGATCCTTTTTTTTAATGACAAATAGTACAATCTACGATTTAATTCTCTTTACAAAAACCCTAAACTTCCCAAGTAGTTTCCACGTTATGAATGGTAAGCATGTAGAGTTCCCTTCAACTGCCGTAATAAGGGTTTGTATTTCCTAACTTATAGTTATATACAAAACACACAAAAACAACAAAATC